ATCCATTTGACGGGGAAAACCTGCAGTCCGTTATCGTCATGGATAAGCAAATTTGTGTAATATATCAAATTTTACATATTATTTCCAAGCGTATTCTAATTTGCACGTAAATGTTTATGATAATGGTATATTTAACGTTCTAACGGATCCTAAGGCTCACATCAGTACGATAGCACACCAGCTCTTACACTATATTTTTGCCCGCTGCCGATCGGTAGGGATGGAGACGGTATCCGAGCGAAACGGTCGGGCTAGGGGTGAAACGGTGTTTCTTTTGAGTTTGCTGTTTTCGGCGCAGATAATAACTCAACGAACCATGCTATTTTAACGGTACCTCCTCCATCCCGTGATCAACTGTCACACGTGAGTCACTGAAGTGAAACCGTGGAATAAACGATACGAACATCAAAGTACACACACACACAAAACAAAAAAAAAATACCTGTAAATGTGGCGATCATTAATGAATTTACCTTTACCCCAAACACCCATTCCACGACCAAAACGGGTGTGAAAAGAACTGTGCTTAATCCTGCAAAACAAACTAACAAAAAAAAAACAAACCCCAGCGAGATTAATAAGACGCTTCTCCCGTAGAGTTCACAACATCGCGTGAAGTCGTTAGGGAAAGGGGCGGGATGGGTCACGCAAGCAACTAACAACTCGATCAGGCAAACTGGGCTCATATTTGTACTCACCGGAGGGGGCAAGTAGCCAACCGGACAAGCGTCCTAGGACCCGCGACACTACGATACGAAGACCCGTATAACATTAACTTCCTTTATTATTTAATAATAAATACATTTAAACAGATAACCAGCCAGCGCATCACGTTCAAGATGTTTTCGATCAGGTGTACAACTCTGGGGCCTTGGTTCGTTTTCTACCACCATATAGTCCTGACCTTAATCCAATCGAAGAGGTGTTCGCTAAAGTTAAGCATTACTCGAGGCAGAATGACCTAGTATTGCAATCAGTAAGAGATCCAAGTCCGCTCATCTTTAATGCATTTGGACAAATAACTTCCACGGACTGCAAAAAACATGATTCTCAAATTCAAGACATTTTCACATTAAGCAAATTATAAAATCTTTCAGAAAGAATATCTAAATTCTATTTAACAAAATTACAAAGAAACTGAAGGGTAATAAATATGTTTTGATACATAAAATTTAGATTTTTGTTGCTCGCTGTTTTTTTGTATATTAAAAACGTGTCGTTGTGCTACGTGGCGCTACGCTCACTCGTTCGTTTTGCGATCCTTTGCAACTTGTGCATAAAAATCGTACGCATTCGCCGACCATCAAGTAATATAGCACCCCACCTTTAGACTATCATGTGACGGCTTACGGAAAGAAGTAGGTGTGATACTCAAAAGCTTTTTGAGACGATCAAAAGGTTTAAAATTTCACAAATTATCCCGTTTAGCGCTAACCCAGCATGGTGGCGCCTCCTGAATATGCGCCCCCCCCCCACTCCTCTCTACAGGTATCTCCGTAAGTTACAAAACGATTAGGTCACACCGAACGGTGCAAATTAATATTGCCCCGGAGCAGTCACGACAGGACTACATCTCACATTGCAGCAAAAATTGCAAGAGCAAAATGAGCCCTACGGGCAAGTCAACAATAAAACAGATATCCTTGTCGATTATAAAGAGTCTTAGAGCGAAATATTTCAATCTAAGCACGATTTATCATTCTTCTTTGAAGAAGAATAGTTATCCAGATTTGTAGTTATCGTCAAATCGGGCGAACATCAGAATTTTCTTCTCGGTTGAGCTATTTTCTTTTCCTGTTCAGGGGGATTAAACGTTACCATTACCGTATATGATCGATTAGGCGCCGCTGTCGAATAAGCGCCACACCTCAATAAAAAAATTTAACAAGCGCCGCTGTTGAATAAGCGCCGCGGCGCCTATTTAGAAAGATATAAATAAACGCTAAGAAATGTAGAAATAAACGATTCTTTATTTAAATGCGTTAATCCTAACATTTAAACTATTGAGAACGACGGCCAGTATTGAAACTTTAAAGTTTTATTGTCGAATATCTTTTACAACCGGGCTCATAATTATGACAGTTCTGATATATAGTGTAAAATTTTCCTTCTTCCTAATTAACTCCGTGTCTAACACTTGGGCATGTCGTCGATTCGCCGTATATGCTGTGAACTTAGCGTGAATCACCAGCCCAACTTCACCCTTTTTTTTTTCTGTAACCTCTACCAAAAGTTTATTCGATTCATCGGCCTTCAGAAAAATAATCTATTTGCTCACTTTGAAATAAGCGCCGCTGCCGAATAAGCGCCGCTGTCAAATAAGCTGTCTTTAAATCAATATTTCCAATAAGCGCCGCGGCGTTATGTTTAATTGCAATTAGTTGATTATAATATTTAAGTATTCTGGTCAAAGTAGCTAAATAATGGTGGGAAACTTCATCGTTCCTGAGGTGTATTTCTGTTTTTGGTAAGTTGTTTTGAGTGGGCACTACTGCAATTCTAGAAGATGATTGGTTCATAACAATGACGATACTCGACCTCCTTAGGTATCGACGAAACGAAGATTACAAAGATCTTTATTTCAAATATTTGTGAGCTTATTTTCGAATGGTGTATCGTCGATGTTGTAGTTCATATTTAAACTACCAAAGGAAGGAAATTAACAAATGTCTTTTCCTCATCATAGTAATTCGCTCCATTCAGAACCATGAAGCGACTAGAAATCATTCGCTGATCGAGTAACAGATTTTTGCGAGGTATTGTGCATTTTCGTATGTTTAATTATTTTGATTAACACAGGCCTGAATGACTGCCACACTACGCGAATTTTTATCATGCAGTGACTTTAGAATTACCAACATTAGAGGCCAATACGATGTCTGGAATACAACCCAAGGTAGAAGCATAGTAGCCCAATAATCGTCAAGCGTACTACTTACTAATACCTAAAAATCCTAAGTTTGGCAACTTTATGACGAATATTCAATGATATACTAATACATGCCTATCAAACTTGGAAGTATCCGAGTATCTTCAGCAAATTTCGCTATCTTTAAAATAGGGTGACCGGGGAACTGGGGACAGGGGAACCAAGGAACCGAGGAACGGGAGAACCGGGGAACAGGGGAAAGGAGGAACGTGGGAGGCAAGGACTGTGGAACAGGGGAATGGGGGAACTTGGGAGCGGAAGAACTGGAAACAGAAGCACCGGGGAATTCCCCCGCTTCTCGTCGCTGGTTCCTTCGTTCTCTTGTTCCCTGTTGCCCTGTTCCTAGTCGGTTCCCCAGTTCCCTGGTTCCCTATTTTAAAGATAGCTGCCAACTCAATGAAGAAATACGTCCTCAGTTGTAGTTTGCCGTTGATATTCGAATAATGACACATGTCAAAAAAATTAAATCCTGTAAGAGGAGCTATATCTTTAAAAGCGGAAATGAGACTCATTATTTAAATTAAACCGAATTAAATTTCTTTGTTTTTAAAGGGTATTGGCAATGAAGATTTAGTTTACTTCATTTGAAAGAACACCTTAAACCACATATATAGCTATCTAAGAGTACTTTTATATTTTAAAGGTGGTCGTTTATTTTGTTCTAAAAATTCCAAGGGATGCAAACTTTAATGTATCCCTGAGCGATCCTGAATATTTTTTCTCCAAAAAATATACAAAGAACGCGAGAATTAATCAAAAAGTTTTATTAAGTTAGGGTTTTCCCCGAAGCAAGCAAAACGGCTTGATTGACTTATTCTATGGTCACGTCATTGTTCTACACAGTTTTGTATTGTTCTCTATAATTTATGAATATATGCAAAACATTTTCGTCGCTTTTCTTATCAAACTAACTTGATAAATTTTTATGGTTGACTTTAGAGACAATGAACCTAAAAGTGTTGCATTCCGTTCAGTCTAAATAAAATAGCGACTGTTTACTTTAGATAGATCGTAGAAGTTTTATGTTTCCAGCCGGCAAAACGTTTAATACTGGACAAGTTTTATTTATTCGAAGTTCAGCTCCGAGACTTAGCTCCAGCTTACAACGAAATAAAACCAATTCCGTTGTTCTAGCTTTAAAACCTAGTTAGTTATCGTGTTTACAAAATTCGTCCATTTCCCACCATTGGGCATGTCTGGTCTTGGTAACTATGGTGATTTAAGATTCATATAGAAGTATTTTTTCATTCGCAGCAACTTGACTTGCAATATTGCATGAACAGATTTTTATATTTCTCAAAATTAAAGAAAAAATTTTTTGTAGTGCACCACCTTAATCACGCTTGTGGCGTCATCAAAATCACACATGAGAGAAACCCGAGATGGCGACCAGCTCATCGATTTCGGTTAAGACTGAGGCATTTCAAAAGCTAGGCAATGATTTTTAACAATTAATTACAACTGTCAAATGACCAGTAATTGATACTTTTGTGAAAAACGCGTTACACCTTTTAATATTATTGATAATTAAAAACAGCACTATTTAACAGCACTATTTAACGCGACGAATTTCATCGACTGAACAGGGAAATTGAAGCCAAAACGTTCCTGCTCCGATGAAAATTTGTCACGGCGACACGTCGCACAGAATCAAGCCAGTTTGATTTTGTGCAAGAAGATATTATATAATTATAATAATTATGGATAATATAGATAATTATAATAATGATTATTATTTATTGAAAATGAGTCAAGAGTTTTGATTGGCCAGCAGCTGTTGGCGAAATCGTCATATCCGCTCGGCAGCTGCCCAAATTTGGACAGTGACGTCACTTCGTCGGATATGAAAAAAATTATTGCACGTTTGACGTCACTTCGTCAGATATGAAAAAAATTATTGCACGGTATGACGTCACGCTAATTTATGCGGCTTGTGCCAAAACCTAAAAGCGGGAAAATACGAATGGCTTCATCAAAGGAAAGGTTCGCTGACCTTGGGGAAGATGAAATTAAATAATTGCTGGAAGAAAAAGACTCAAAAAACACAAAAAGAGCTACCAAAGGCAGCAAAATGATCTTTGAAGACTATTTACAAGAAAAGAGGCTTCGCCATCCACAAAATAGCGAAGAACTTGCTTCAGTTCTCAAGTGCTTCAACGCTGAAGTGAGAAAAAAAGATGGGTCGGAATACACAAAAAATTCGCTGTGTTCAATAAGGTTTGGACTGAATAGATACTTTAAGTCTCTTTTCAACAACGACATCATCAAAGACAAAGAATTTGACGAAGCAAACAAAGTGTACGAGGCCCAATGCGTAGCTTTAAAGAAACGAGGACTTGCCAAAACAGAACACAAACCACCAATAGCCGACGAAGATATCAAGAAACTCTATGAAAGCGGCGTTTTCAATACAGACAGTCCAGCCACTCTCCAAAACAAAGTATTCTTTGAGATTATGTTCTTCTTCTGTCGTCGAGGAAGACAGAATCTTCGCGACCTGAAGAAAGACGATTTCGTTATTATAACGAACCCACAAGGACAGCGATGTGTTGTAAAAAAAACAGACGAACTCACGAAAAACCACCGCGTAAACGACGCTCAAGCTGAAGAAGGGGGAATGATGGTTGCCAATGGCAGTCCTTACTGCCCTGTGCATTCGTTCGAGAAATATTTAAATCATCTTAACCCCGTCAACGAGTTTCTTTTCCAAAGGCCGAAGTATAATTGTCCTGTTGAGCGGGTAATTTGGTATGACAATATGGTCGTCGGGCAAAACACACTTGGCAAGAAGATGAAAGCGTTGTCAAAACAAGCAAAGCTTTCTGTTGAATATACCAACCATTCGATTCGAGCAACAACAATTACTATCCTCGACAGAAATGGCTATGAAGCCAGACACATTATGTCAGTAAGCGGTCACAGGAGTGAAAGCAGTTTAAAGAGCTACACTAAAACTGACGATTTAACAAAGAGCAAAATGGCCGGTTGCTTGTCTTCTGTAATTGATTCCAGCGAACATTACGTAGCTGAGACTCCGACTCGTAATGATAAAAACACTAACATGTCTGCCCTGACTTCTGTGAATGAAGATGAAACTGAGCTTCTTTTAACAAACTCACAAGAGGAATCAATTTTGCGGGATTTCTGCATCCAAACGACTACACAAACATCAAAACAGTTCAATTTTTACAACTGTCAAGTTCAGTTCAACTAAAATGTTTATAAACTGGAATGTTTCATTTGAACTTGTGTTAGGACAATTTCAGAACTCTAGTTTTCCAAACATTTGTATTTTCATATAAATATTCTACATGATTTGAAGTGTAAAATAACGAGGTTCATGACCTGTGAATCTCAAATAATTTATTTGTGTGAAAATTTCGAAGCGCAATTTCAAACGCTTATTTATGTGAATTGAAATAAATTTGTTTGATTTGATGTGTTTATGTTCAGTTGCGACCTTGAAATCTGACACTGAACAGTATTAAGAATTATTCTTTTCTCGTCTGATTGGTTTATTCATAATTCGGAACACTGCTATTGTTGTTCAATTTTCAGCAGCTTGCGTCTCCTTGTCTACAACGCAAGCGTTTAGTCTAAGCCCAAAATTTTTGCAAATAAATAATAAAACAATTATTGAATTCGGTTCTCGCAGGATATGAGGAATTATCAAGGCCTCGGTTTGTGTTATCCGCCTCAGCCTTCGGCTTCGGCAGATAACACAAACCTCGGCCTTAATAATTCCTCATATCCTGCTCAACCTCATTCAATAATTGTTTATTATTATTATATTATAGATAACTATAATAATTATAGCTCTTGCGTACAACGCTATCATCATTGTAGTATAAATCCCGGTCGGTAGTACATGAAAAAAGAGCATTTTCAGTTGGAGTAAACGTACACTCTTTCACATCCTTTAAACGTTACGAACAACATAATTTTTACTTATAAGCAAAAAGTATATAGCCTTTGTCGGGGGATTCCCCGATCTTTTCTAATCGAAAACGTTTCTAAAATTTCCAATATAAGCAGAAAGATAAACTAAAAAGATATTATTAGATATGCATTATGCAGCATATGCATACTACATACAAATAAACCACATAAAAAAACGGGGGGAGAGCAACAGAGGAAAAATAATTGCATTACAGATATAACTCAAGAAGTCATTATAGTTTGTAAAGTTTATTAATATTCGTTTTTTGTAAACTTACGTTCTGATTGGTCGATTTGTACCATGTGAGTAAATGCTATATAACAACAACGCCACGGCAGTGCCGTTATAGGATTTATTGCACTACCAAAATGGCGGCAACAAACAAAAAATTTGCCGAACTTAGCGAAGAGAACGAAGAGGAAAATAATGTAATTATAGCTGAATCCACACCGAAAAATACTAAACGGGAAACCGCTTGGGATGTTTTAGTATTTAAAGATAAGCATGTGTTGTTTAGTTAACTTTAATAATGATACAAAGTCTTTACGAGTTTACTCAAAATGAATATTAAGAGCATTAAAGCACTCTTTGTTTGTGCATTATCGGGTTTTACATGCACTCGTTCACAAACAAGGAACTCGAAATTCAATACTGCACGAGGCTTCGCCTCACAGAGTGCATTAATCGTTAAATATATTATATGTGTATGTAATATAGAATGCGCCGTAAACTTTCAAATGCAAAAAAAACGTAGAGGAGTTCTACGCCTGTAGTACAATGAAACCCTTTTAGATCGCAAAAAGCAATCTCGAGCCAGGCGTAAAAATTTTAAATAAAGCATTCAGGACATGCCAAACTTTTTGCTGATCCCTGTCAGAACTTGTGCAAGGAAAATTTACACAGTCTGAAAAAGAACTCATTTTGCTCAATATTCTCATTTTAGAAATATTTTAAACTGATCATTGACCGAGCGTGAAGTCCGTGTGAAATATCAAATCAAACAAGCATGGTCAATAATCAGTTTATTATTTGCATGAGGTGGATGAGACATCCGGGATACTGGTCCAGATACAAAATATACGGACTACGTGTAATGTATGGGATTTAGTACCATTTGGTGTATGTGATATAGTTAGCTTTAGGTTAAATACCAGGCTGAAGTTAGAGTTGGAGGATGTCCATTGTATATGATTATTGACTCTGGTGCCAGTGTTAACATCGTTGATAGGCAAACTTGGGAATGGCTGAAAAAGAACCGAGTCGTGTGTACGTCAACTCGTTCAGAAAAGAAACTTTATACCTATGCTTCACAGGAACCATTGGAGATAATTGGGACATTTAATTGCAAAGTTTCTGTTGGTCATCGTACCTCTGATGCAGAGATTTGTGTCATCTCTGGGAAAGGAGAGTCACTCCTTTGTAAAGATACAGCCATGAAACTTGGAGTTCTAAAGATGGGCATGGATATTGCTTCAGTGAGGTCAAAACCACAGAATGTCGAAGAAATGATTCAGACGAAATATCCAGAAGTTTTTAAAGCCGTTAGTAAGTTGAAAGGTCGGACAGTACAACTTCATATTAATTCAGCAGTAAAGCCAGTAGCCCAGCCAGTTCGAAGGATTCCGTTCAGTTTGCGACCCAAAGTTGAAGAAAAGATTAATGAACTAATAAATCTAGATATTATTGAACCAGTGGAAGGTCCAACATCATGGGTAATACTGTAGTTCCGAAACCAAACGGGGAGATAAGACTTTGCGTTGATATATGCGCAGAGCAAACGAGGCTGTTATGCGTGAAAGGCATCCCATTCCCACAGTTGATGAGATTACACAAGGCATGAATGGAAGCAGTGTCTTTAGTAAGCTTGATTTTAAGTGGGGGAAGTATCAGAACCCTTAAGATGTCTGACAAAGAAGGGAGTACCATTTAGTTTTGGGCCGAAGCAAAATAAATCATTTCAAGAGTTAAAGAATCTGTTATCAAGTTCCACAACACTTGGTTATTTTGACAAAGATGCACCAACTCAAGTAGTTGCTGATGCAAGTCCAGTTGGATTAGGGGCGGTGTTGACACAGACCCAGAAAGATGGTCCACGAGTCGTAAGCTACGCAAGTCGCAGCCTTACTGAAACCGAAAAGAGATATTCGCAGACCGAGAAAGAGGCTTTGGCTCTGGTATGGGCCTGTGAGAAGTTCCACCAGTATGTATATGGGATTCGATTTGAATTGATCACAGATCACAAGCCGTTAGAGGTCATCTATCGGCCAAAATCGAAGCCTTGTGCACGTATAGAGCGGTGGGTGCTGCGAATGCAACCATAGCAATTTAAAGTAAAATATGCCCCGGGATCAAAGAATATTGCTGATCCGCTATCAAGATTGATAAATGGCCGTCAAACCTTCAGCGAGTATGAAGAAGAAGTTGAAAGTTATGTGCGGTTCGTAACAGTGATGGCGACGCTAGCGTGATGACAACTCAAGAAGTTGAAGAGGCCTCTGCGGATATCGAAGAACTTGCGACGGTCAGAAAGTCTATAAATGATAGTTCATGGGACAAAATGGCCTACAAACAATACATTCCGTGTTGTGATGAGTTATGTGTAATTGGTCAACTGGTACTGAGGGGAACTAGAGTGGTTATCCCGAGGAAATTGAGACCTAAGGTGCTGAGTTTGGCTCACGAGGGGCATCTCTGTATTGTGGGAACCAAACAAAAGCTTCGAAGTAAAGTTTGGTGGCCAGGAATGGAAAAGGATGCAGAGAAGTATTGTAAGGCGTGCCATGGGTGACAATTGGTTAGTCGACCTGATTTTGTGGAACCCATTAGAACAACTACTCTTCCTAGTTGCCCATGGAGAGTTTTAGCTGTTGACCTGTTAGGACCTTTGCCGACAGGAGAATCAATATTGGTTATTATCGATTATTACAGTCGTTATTACGAGGTTGTTATCATGAGATCAACTGTTACTGATAAGATAATCGAGAGTCTTGAAGAAATCTTTTGTAGATGTGGTCTTCCAGAAAGTATTACATCAGATAACGGACCTCAATTTATCTCTTCTGAGTTCAAAGCATATATGGATTATCAAAGAATTCGACACCGAAGAGTTACTGCGAAGTGGCCCAAAGCAAACGGCGAGGTGGAACGACAAGATCGGTCACTGTTGAAGAGAATCCAGATCGCACAGGCAGAGAAGAAAGATTGGAGGAAAGAAATAAATGTATATCTGTCCTCTCATCGTAGTTTACCCCATCCCACTACGGGAGTGAGCCCTGCAGAGTTGTTGTTTGGGCCGGAAATACGAACGCGTTTGCCAGAACTTCGGGATGTGTACGTTGATCTGGAAGATCGAGATCATGAGCAGAAGAATAAAAGTAAAGAGTATGCTGATGACAAACGAAGGGCTTGTTACTCCGATATTTTCCAGGGATAAAGTCTTGGTTCAGCAAGAGAGAAGGAATAAATTCTCAACCCGATTCAATCCTGTTCCTTTTACAGTGGTGAGGAAACATGGGAATAGTTTGGTAGTCCCAATCGAAAGATGGAGTACAATATTCACGACCTCACATTGTAAAAAGTTTCTAGAAGATTTTGAAGGAGAGTGTCAGTCAGAAATTGATACGGAACAAGTGGAGTCACCTACCAGTATAGGAAATAACGATATTCAACAAACGACCATTGAGACAGAGGTGCGAGATTTCGTGTCAACGCAGCAAGGAACAGCAGGTGAAGACAGAAGAATTCCAGAAGAGGGAGGGACAATCGGAGTAGTACAGGCGAGTATCGCTAAGAAAAACGTTCCGTTAAGACGATCAGAAAGGATTAAAAAGAAACCTAGTTATTTAAACGATTATGAACATTGAAATTACTTCTAGTTAGTAGGATATTGTAATTTCTAGTTATGTTGTATGATAAATAAGTACATTTGAAATGATGAACTTTTAGGACAATCTTAAACTTTGAAAAAAAAAGAGAACAAAACTTTAAAATGAACTCAAAAAGAGATAGAAACTTTTTCTGGAAAAGGAGGGATGTAATGTATGGGATTTAGTACCATTTGGTGTATGTGATATAGTTAGCGTTAGGTTAAATACCAGGCTCCTACAGCTCGGTGGTGGCTGTTAACGAAGCCAAAATGGCGAGTATTTATATTATAAAATTACACGTTTAATCGAGAAGAATCCGTGTCATTTACTGACCATCACGGCATATAACACTACGGTCCGGATATGGGTTTTACGGACCGCTCGTTAACGAATCAGAATAGAGGATTCTTAAAAGCCATATAATAATGATCCCCGAGCGGGCGCGGAGCGCCTGCGAGGGTACTAATTCCGCTCGGAGATTAGGAATTACACCCGGAACCCGGTAGAACATAGGCGAACCCAAAGTTGTCCAGATTCTATGTCATGGACGGTCGACGTTGAGTGGTTTTGTATGTTATGCGCATGCGCGAGTAACGTCTGGTAATCAACGAACGTTCTGATTGGCTAAGACAGAAAGTTTGTATTTCAATGAGAGCGTCAGCAATTTAACATTTTTGTAAAAGCGTTTCATAAATAAACTTTGTGCAAAGAAAATACAGCGAGAAGAAAAAAGATACATGAAGCATGACAGATAGATAGCAAAGATGAACATGGATACGGGCAAGATAAAGCCGTGTAAAAGGAATAATTCATAATCTGCAAGCTTATAAATTTTTTCAAAGGGTACGGGTTTACTTTGTTTATTTCGTATTTGTTTCGCCGTAAGGATGAGCTGTATTTTTATACTTCTCAGCTTTGTATGCCGTTTATTTGTTAAATTTTCACCTTTGTATAATTTTCAGCCTTTTATGCAAACGCCTAAACCTGTGAAAGGCTATTACACCTTTGCTTTAACTTCAAAAATTGTTTATGAAAGTGTAATTTGAATTTTGGTATCAAAAATACACACTATACTAGTTTACCCACAGGGTACTAAATGCTGCCTTGGTATAGCATTATTCAGAAATTTTCAATATTTATAAAAGCCTCTAAGCATAAGGATTAAGGTAAGGCTAAGCCAGAACGAGACATATGTCTCTTTGTCTTCGAGCCTTAGAGGGAAAGTTTTATTTCTGCTTGTGCTGATCTCACTGGTGTGAACCAGGCTTTATATTTTCAACTGATAAGAAATCATGAACAAAATGAACACTTTAATAATATCAAAACAGAGCAAAATTATATTAAAACTAAATGTTACAGTTTTGCAGTCTATACGTCTCTGCCATCATATAGTCACTTCAACTATTCTTTGCGTTCTTTTGTTGAAATTCAGATGTAAACATCTCTTGGCGTTATAACAGTTTCATTAATATCAAAACAAAACAGAACAGAACTATATTAGGACGAAATGTTATAATGTTTGCAGTCAATTGGTCTACTGACTGCCATTATATAGTCACTCATGTTTACTTGGCAGCGTTATTTTCTTGAGACTGAGACAACATTTCTCTTGGTGTTATAAAAAGATTTGCATTAACTGTTAGCAAAACCTCTATTAACATATCATCGTCAATGGAGTTGAAATCCAACTCTGGGGTGGTACTGTCTTCCTTGAAGATCTCAAAAAGTTGTTGCAACTTGTCATCAAACAAAAGAAGGGTTGTGCTAGACTTTCCCTCCTCGTCCTTGAACAAGACACACCATATCCCATAGCCTAAAAGGGCACTTCCTAACACAAGAATAAGAACGTAGTATTAAACATTGGTAACGTACAGTCGTACACAGAAGCCTAGATGCTCAACTTTTAGCTAGGATTGAGAGGGACTAATTTAATTTTTTTTATATCGTTCGCCATTTGCCCAGGCCATGCTTTATTTATAACACAACACAAAATACACAATTCACAAAATATCTAGAAACACACAAATCAGGTACTTCGTCTTCGCATTGGGGACGTACACAGAAGCCTAGATGGTCATAGTTTAGCTAGGATTATTCACAAAATATCTAGAAACACACAAATCAGGTACTTCGTCTTCACATTGGTCATTGGGGGCGTACTGTACACCGAAGGTTAGATGGTCATAGTTTAGCTAGGATTGAGATGGATTAAAAATTTTATATTGTTCGCCATCGACGGAGAAACACAAAATATACACAATTCACAAAATATCTAGAAACACACAAATCAGGTACTTCGCATTGGGCACATACACAGAAGCCTAGATGGTAATGCTAAAATGGAATATAAAATCAGAGTATATTTTTGCCCAAAATTATCACTAAAAGGGCACTTCCTAACACAAGATAAGAATAAGAACGTAGTATTAAACATTGGTAACGTACACAGAAGCCTAGATGCTCAATCTTTAGCTAGGATTGAGGGATTTTTTTTTATATCCGGCGTTGGCCATTTGCCCAGGCCATGCTTTATTTTATAGGACAACACAAAATACACAATTCTCAAAATATCTAGAAACACACAAATCAGGTACTTCGTATATCAAAAGCACACAAATTAACACAAGTAAAACAATATTGTAAGCATATAAACGCAAAACTCACCTCATATAATCGTATTTCAGTTCGAACGAAAACGTGTTACTACAAGCACATGGAAGACGAAAGGTGAAAGATGATCACATTACATTATGGTTATTAGAAAACGTGTTACTACAAGCACATGGAAGACGAAAGGTGAAAGATGATCACATTCAATATCACATTACATTATGGTTATTAGTCAAGAATAGCCTGCAAGCCCGAAAGCAGTGCATTGTGGTAGCCGAATCCATCGAGATTTCAGCTCCCATAACAATAATAATACTAACGTAAAGATTAGGTCTGCTGCCTTGCTCGCTCGCTTCAGGCTCGCTCGCTGCGGCAGCAATCATAGGAACCCCAATAAATATTGTTGAAAGAAAAAGTAAATAGTCCAGTTACGTTGCGAGTTCAGTGACGTCAGTAATCGCGAAGCAGCGCATATAAATATATAACTATATATTTATATGCTTCGCGATCACTGACGTCACTGAACTCGCAACGTAACTGGACTATTTACTTTTTCTTTCAACAATATTTATTGGGGTTCCTATGACTATATTTATAAAGTATAAAACTTTTAGCCACCGGCGTCGACTGCAATTACAGAATAAGATTACATTTGAAGTTTTTTCTTGTCTTGTGAAGATTTTGTACTGTTTTAATCGTTTGAAACTTCGATTTTAAAGCGTTACTTAATTGCTGGCATGGTATAATGAGGCAAAATTGAACGGGCAATGTTTACACTCGCTTTATGATTATTTTTGTATTGAATGATGGAAACATTAGCTATAATATACTCGATAAAATATAATAAGACTGATTTGAGTTTTGTGTCATTTCATAATATAAGATTAGGTCAGGTTAACTCAGGAAATTGTGTACTTGGTTTGAAATAGCGACGGGTTGCTGCATGCATTTATTTCTAGCATAATATAATAATCGACCTCGCTTGTTCGATCTGTACTGTGAAATATCAGACCGAGGATTTTTCCATGAACCTCGCCCCTTCGTCCCTCGGTCCATACTAAAGAGCCTCGGTCTGATATTTCAAAGTACAGACTTCACTCTCGGTCAATAATCAGTTATTACAAACTAGATCTAATTTTGCTTTTTAATTAAGGGTGCGCAGTAAAGAGTGTGGCTTTGCACGAAATCACAATTGTTTAACAGCGTAGACGTTTTACTCAAAAATGGCAGCTTTTGCAAGTGATGATGTTATTACACCCCAGGTCAAGGAGAGTGACATAAATTCAGGTTTTGATGAACCAAATAGCCCGAATACTGACGGGTGGACTGTGCTGCGCGACGCTGTTACTGAAGACGCGCTAGACGTCGTAAAATATCTTGTTGAAACAGGCGCTGATGTAAATGGAAAAAATGTTGATGAGAGGACAGTTCTGCACGATGCTGTCACAGAAAGTACCCTTGAGATGGTTAGATATCTTGTAGAAAACGGTGCTGATGTGAATACCAAGTTTACAGACGGGTGGACAGTGCTGCACTCAGCTGTTAATAAAGATAGGCTAGAAATTGTGAAACATCTTGTTGAAAACGGCGCTGATGTAAACGGGAAGGATACTTACGGGTGGACTGTGCTTCACAGTGCAGTTACTAATGGGTCGTTAGAAATGATAAAGTATCTTATTAAAAACGGCGCAGATGTAAATGGTAAGGAAAATAACGGGTGGACAGTGCTCTACTACGCCGTCACTGAAGGTTCGCCTGAAATTGCAAAACATCTCGTTGAAAACGGCGCTGATGTCAATGGGAAGAGTATTGATGAGACTACAGTGCTTCACGATGCTGTTTTGGAAAGTACACTGGAAATGGCAAAATATCTTGTTGAAAATGGCGCAGATGTAAATAGCAAGAATGCTTGCGGGTGGACAGTGCTACACAGCGCTATTACTACTAAAGGTACGCTAGAGATGCTTAAATATCTTGTTGAAAAGGGAGCTGATGTGAATGGCAAGATGGCTAATGGTTGGACAGTGCTGCACTCTGCTGTTACTGAAGGTTCTCTGAAAATAGTAAAATATCTTATTGAAGAAGGCGCCGATGTAAATGGAAAGGATTCTGACGGGTGCACAGTGCTGCACATTGCGGTCACTAAAGGTACGTTTGAAATCGTAAAATATCTTGTTGAAAAAGGCGCTGGTGTAAATGAAAAGGATACTGACGGGTGGACAGTGCTGCACAGTGCTTGTAGTAAAGGTACGCTAGAAATAGTGGAATACCTTGTCAGAAGAGGGGCTGATGTAAATGGCAAAAATTCTAATGGTTCGACAGTGCTCCATTGTGCTTGTACAAAAAGTACTCAAGAAATAGTGAAATATATTGTTGAAAAGGGCGCTGATGTAAATGGTAAGAAAGATAACAGGGGGGAGTGCCGCACAATCCTACCACTGGAAATGCGCTGGAAATGGTAAAATTTCTTGTAGAAAATGGCGCTGATGTAAATGGCAAGAATACTACCGGCTGGACAGTGCTGCACACTGCTGTTGCAAACGGTTCCCTAGAAATGGTGGAATACCTTGTTGAAAAAGGTGCTGATGTGAATGGAAAGAATGCTAACGGCTGTACAGTACTGCACTGTGCTGTTTCTGAAGGTACAATGGGAAACGGTGAAATATCTTGTTGAAAAAGGCGCTGATGCAATGGAAACGATAATGACAGATGGTCACAGCTGCACTGTGCTGTTACTGAAGGTACACTAGAAATGGTGAAATATCTGGTTGAAAAGGCGCTGATGTAAATGGTAATAAAACTAACTGTTGGACTATACTGCACGCTGCTGTTACGAATGGTAACCTGGAAATGGTGAAATGTCTTGTTGAAAGCAGAGCCGATGTAAATAGTAAAAATGCATACGGGTGGACAGTGTTGCACTTCGCTGTTACTAGAGGTACGCTAGAAATTGTAAAGTATCTTGTTGAAAACGGCGCTGATGTAAATGGTGAAAGCATTAACGCTTTGACAGTGCTGAACGCCGCTGTTTCAGAGGGTACCCAAGAAATCGTAAAATATCTCGTTGAAAAAAAAGCTGAAGTGAATGGAAAGAAGACTGCCGGTTGCACAGTGCTTCACAATGCTGTTACGAATAGTACGCTTGATATGGTAGAATATCTTGTTCAAAACGGCGCTGATGTAAATGGAGAGAAAACTGACGGGAGTACAGTGCTTCAAAGTGCTGTTACTAAAGGCACGCTGGAAATAGTAAAATATCTCGTGGAAAAAGGTGCTGATGTTAATGGTAAGAATGCTTCTGGTTGGACAGTGCTTCACAATGCTGTTACGAATGGTATGCCAGAAATGGCGAAATATCTCGTTGAAAACGGCGCTGATGTAAATGGAACGAATGTGCATGGTTGGACAGTGCTTCATCATGCTGTAACGAATGGTACGCTGGAAATGGTGAAATATCTCCTTGAAAACGGCGCTAATGTAAATGGAAAGAGTGCTTACGGTTGGACAGCGCTGCACGCTGCTGTTACTAAAGGTACGCTGGAAATAGTAAAATGTCTTGTGGGAAAAGGTGGTGATGTAAATGCAAAGGATACTAGCAGGTGGACAGTGCTGCACGGTGCTGTTGCTGAAGGTACGCTAGAAATGGTGAAATATCTTGTTGATAAGGGTGCTGATATGAATAGCGAAAACAACAACGGGTGGACTGTATTGCACAGTGCTGTTTCTAGAGGGACGTTAGAAATAGAAAAATATCTTGTTGAAATGGGCGTTGAAGTAAAAGGAAAGAGTTCTGCTGATGGATGGGCAGTCTTGCACGTTGCTGTCATTGGTGGTGGATTTGAAATTGTCAAGTATTTAGTTGAACAGGGCGCTGACATAACTCTGAAAAGTAAAACCAGCGTTCATACTCTTGGCATTGATATCCTCAAGATGGCTGTTGTAAACAATTCAATTGTTTTGGTAAATCGTTTGTTGCAAAAGAAGATTGCTGTGTGGAGAGCGAGAACATTTCTTGTTGAAGGAAGGCAATTGAGTCTTCTTGAATGGAGTACTCACCTTGGTCATGAAGAAATTACTAATATCCTCAAAACGTCCGTAAAACATCGTGAGAAGATTCACATGTTGAAAACAATGAATTGCAACGAGTTAGGCAAGGTAATAGTTAGAAGATATTTCAAAATATATGATTCGATTATTTTAATATCTGAGATATTGTGTCCAGCCTTTGGCCGGCTGCATATTACCATATGCGTTGTGGTATGAATCATGAACTATTTCATGTGTTTGTTTACGTGTCAAAAATAGTCAATGAATTGTGATTAATTGTTATCTTTTAAACACACAAGTTCACACATATGAACCACAAAAAAAACAATAAGGATGCTACGCAAACTTTAGTCCTACAAAACTGAACGTTTAAAGTGCACTTTTGCTTGTTTTTCGATGGATACGACACGTTTCGTACAATTGACAATTTTGTGTTTTCCCCATAGACTGAAATACCGATACAGGCTTTTGTTGCAAAGAATCAATTCAAAATTGGCGGTGGTGGTTTTTCTTCTGTCTATGTTGGTCTCATGAAGGATGGAAGTGAAGTTGCAGTTAAGAGAATTTTGGTACAAAGTGAGGACAAAACAATTGAAAACGAAAAGGAGATCATGAATCTTATTGACACAAACAACTCTCCTTTTATAGTCAAATATCGATATTTTCATCGTGACAATGACTTCATGTATCTTTTTGTTGATCTTTGCGAAGAAACCTTGAGGGAACTTGTTCATGCATGCAGTATTGACTATCTACAGGAGCATGGTCCACGAATGATTTGGGAGATTCTATCTGGAATTGAATTTCTTCACGGTAAAGGAATATTGCACAGAGATCTAAAACCATCAAATGTCCTGGTTGATATCGAAGGCCGCATGAAATTGGGTGATCTTGGAATAAGCCGCGTTCTAAATTACGATAAAACGACAGTTGTTACATTCGCTAAAGGAACTCCCGGATGGATGCCACCGGAAGTAATTAAGGCAATCGACAGAAATGAAAAGGGTCCTTTTAAAAAGAAATCGGATGTCCAGGTGGCGGGTATGATTGCTTTCTTTATCTTAACTAAGGGTGAACACCCTTTTGGAGCTAGCATAGATCGAATGAGAAATATTCTACACGGGAAACCCGTCAATTTGTGGAAACTTGGTCATGGTAGAGCTAGAAGGTTTGTGTCGTGCCTTATTGATCACAAAATTGACGATAGACCTTACGCTCACGAAGCACTGAGAGATCCATTTGTTAATGGTGACGAATGAAATTGAAAAATCGTGGTAAACACCGGGGGGCGGTTGTTCAAAAGCTGATTAAATCTTTAACCCTAGGTTAGTTAAACGTCGGTTAAAACTGCGTTGTTCACAGCAGGGTTATTAGTGGTAAGGTTAGTTAACCCAGGGTTAAAATATTTAACCTAGGATTATATATTTTAAGGACTAAATTGGATATAAGAACGCTATTGGTAAATAAACGAGCGTCAAAACTTCAACCGATAAGGCAATAATTTATTGTCAATCGAAAAATTATATGCCGTGAGGGCAGTAACGATGTATTGAACTGCAATTTCCGTGCATGGAATTTTGGAAAGTTTCGGAGGGAAAGGCCATTTTGTATGATAAACGATGTGAAATAAAATCAAGCAAATTAAAAACAATCGATTTTAGATTCAGGAGCAACCTCGTACCACTGCCAAACAGGAGAATCGAGATTTTGAGGTTTGAAATACAATGATCAGCTAAGATACCTGATACCATGGCATCCGGGACAAATATTGCCATTACGATGTTTCAAATCCATTTCATTTCATTTAAAATCTTGTGACGTAGTTACCGAAAAGGTCTATTAATTAATTAATGCTCCTCTTGGAGCAACAGGCCTAAGTAAGTAAGTAAGTCTATTAATTAGTCACAAATGCAGTGAACTCAAATAAGACTGGAACGCTAACTCCGCCGAAAGTTTGAAGTTTGATGGCGGACACTGAAGCCTTTCTTGTAGGTATAATCCAGGCCTCCACACGAAAATTTCGTAGCTAAAATGGCGGCAATTATGATTTACTTTTGAAATTTCCGCGCCAGGGGCCTGGATCGTACCTACGATAAAGGCTTCACAGTGAACTCAAATAAGACTGAAACGCTCACTCTCTGATTTGGCCTCATTAATGAGTGAAGCTAAGTATTATCATGTAATGCATTGAAGCGGAGATAAATAAATCAATTACGTGTTTCCGCTCCTTATTCATCCATTTTGGACCGAAGTTAACCCAGGATTAAAAAGTCAGTAAACCACCTAGCTAGCAGGGTTAATGCATCAATTTAAAAAGCTAGCTGGTTTAAAAAACTCGAATTGCTGTACAGTTCACCATTCTTCACAATTCCTCATTGCTAAAATAGTCACCAGTTGTAATAGAGTTTATACTTGTATTAGTAGGTCTACATTCTTTCACGCCCTCAAAGTTATATATAAAATAAATACTAACTTAGTTTTACAAATGAACTACCATCTAAAAATGAATCACAATATTCTATATTAGTAATATTACAGATATTAAAATAAATCTTTCTTCCTGCATACCCAGAGAATTAATGCCAAACTCTGCGTATAGTCCGTTCCTTCAAGGGTCAGGACGGCGAAATTGCACAGATCGTCTAATCAACAGTGGTTTCCCCTCATGCACCCATCACGGCTCTGACGGTGTCAAGATGGTTAAAGAGCGCTCTAGGACTTGCGGGGATTAAACATTGTTTATATACGAGACATTCCACTCGAAGTGCATCAAGGGTGCATCAACATCCGTTGGCTCAATCTGGAATTCCGCTCGAGATTCAGACTAGTCCATAGTCCTCCTTAGCGCGCCTTGCATTCTTGTGACGTCACCAGTTTGAACGCGCGGGAGAGGACTAGCACAAAATGTTGTTTATTCTTAATTCAAAATGGGGGCAAGAAAATTTTTTCTTGGGACAAAATCAGGGACAATTTTTGAAATCTCAAAATTTTGTGCTAGGTCTCTCAGCGTGGGCTGCCCTTACATAATTAAAGTGCGTGGGACTAGGCTGCTCTCTAGATAGTGCCAGGCAGAAGATCGGGTATAAGCTGAGGCCTTTCATAAGTTTTTTTCATAGACCAGATTCCAAAGATATGTTTGCAAAGACTGTCCTTTCTGGTTAGTTGTATATATACTGCATTACTTCCCCCATTTCCCCGATTCCCTGTTCCCCCTTTTAAAGATAGCCGGTAGGTACCACCACACTGTGGTAAGTACCCTCTGGGGAACTTCATTTCCTCGACTGCTGGGAGGATCTCGGGAGTATTCGGAATATGCTCGGAATTCTTGACGAGTTACGAATGTCTCGCGCATGTCCGTTCTTGACACCGACGTGGCTGACTTGTAAGAGCAAGAGAACATTGTTTTCATATGAAATAAACTGAGAAAACTGATTTAAAAATGTCTACGTACCAAGAATTTATCCAGCAGAATGAGGATAGAGATGGAGTACGATTCAGTTGGAATGTCTGGCCTTCAAGCAGGCTTGAAGCCACTAGAATGGTAGGAAACATCAAATGTTGTATTTGGTCTTGTCAAACACGTTGTTTCATGATATATATATCCTACACAAGGACCTGCTAAACTTTGAATAAATTCTGTGTAGAAAATACATTTAAATTAGAAAGATTCGTGTATATGATTTGGAAGAATAACATTTTGTTTAAATTTTCCATTTAAAAAGACCACAACTTTGAACACTCAAAAGCATGGAACATGTTTGAGATGCCATACTATAAATTTCTGAGATTTGCATTACTACAATTTCCTTCACTTGCATAGTGGTATAGATAATTTAGTATCTTATGTGCATTCCTTTGTGCATTCTGGGTTACAGATTTGCTCTAATTCTAGGAGCATTGTAATGAGACGTTTACTCAAAAAGAAAGTAATTAGAATGGCTGTGCATAATTCAAGATAAGATGGTTTTGCCAAAATAAAGGCTACCATGATGAAATATTTCACCAGAATGATTTTAAATGTTAATGTATCTGAGAGTCAATCCATTACGATTTTGTGGCACAGGATACAGTAATTTCTCAGCGATTAAAGGGTCTCAATTGCAAGTGGAATTCATACACTTTTCAAATTTAAGCCAGGAACAGTCAGAGGGATGTGTAAACTATCTGTTCCCAACAGGAATTGAATGTAATTGCCTTTGCTTGAGTTTGAAAGATTCCATCCATAATTAAGACCCTCTACCCATTAGAAATTGCTCATGTTTCTGTAGCTTAGTGCTTGGTGCATCCTGGATCTGAACTAGTCAGTTTCCTTTTCTTACGTTATAGGTGGTTCCAGTAGGATGTATGTACACACCATTGAAGGAAAGGCCAGATTTACCTCCAATATGTTATGATCCAGTTGTCTGTAGTCGTAACAGTTGCAAAGCAATTCTGAATCCTTTCTGGTGAGTTATCAAGCACATAGTATGTAGTGGATCTAAGTTTTCTATTTTCTCATAATCTTAAAATTATAGATGCATGTATTTTCAGTACGTAACTTGACTGCAGAAATCATGGCTATGTACACAGACATGATTGCCATAATATTGTAATTTATATATGGGGCTGTTGCAGTATTTTGCGATATCAATAAATGTTTTTTTTAATATCAGTCCGATGTGAATGACTGTTTCTGAAACAATGCATTGATTGCAATATCTTTTCATATATTACAACACTCCTGTTCATAAGTTTGGTATTTGACTATTCTTCCTGATTAATTGTGTCAATTTACTCTTTATTTAATAGCCAAGTGGACTACAGAGCTAAACTCTGGCATTGCAATTTTTGTTTTCAAAGAAATGCGGTGAGTTTTTTGGAATAATGCATTTGTCATTCCAAGTAACTATGCAATATTTTTGCTTATTTCACTGTTAGCAAAATTTGAAATATGTATATATGATATTTGTATACTACATGTATCACACACAGTAAAATTTCTATTGGTACATGAAAAATCACATAGTGCACCTAAATGGGCCTTAATTGATTCCATTTTTAATTAACTGGAAATGAAACCAAATGCATTTGTTGCTGAAACTGATATCTGGCATTGTTTCTCATCCTTCTTGAATTGATCAATGTTTAAACCTAAAGCTACAGCAGATAGAGGACTAGTACATAATTAAATTAGCTTGTGGTTAGACCCTATAAGTGCCTTTTCAATGTTGCAATATTAAAAATTATGAGTAGTTGCACTCATGAAGGCCTGGGTTAACAGACTGGAACTTGCAATATTACAAATACTTTTGTGGTGTACCGGCCTATACAAGCTAATTTAGTATAGTGATTTTAATTTAGTATAGTGATTTTAATTTAGTATAGTGATTTTAATTTAGAATAATGATTTTAAGATGTCACCATGCAAATTAAATTACAAGAATATTAATTATTAAGTAGAGAACTAGTTGAAGACATATTTGTAAGCAGCTGCCCTCTTATCTTGTTTCAATGAATTGCCTTTAAATTTTCTGTACTTTATTTCATGCAATTTATTTATGAATATTTTCTAGAAAAAACTAAAAACACAGGACAGTTTCTGATTAAAAATCCTCTACCATTATGTAACAAAAAGAAAACATGATGAGGCAATGTTCATTTTAAGAAGCATTAGTTATATTTATGAAGCATTCCTTGTATAACAAAATACCCTTCACTGAAAATCCTTACCTTTCCATTCCTCTGTCATTCCTTTATTTCCAGACAAAGTAATCCAATGTAGTGATTTTGACTGTGTTTTCTATTATTTCTGCAGTTTCCTCCACAATATGCTGGTATCAGTGAGCAACATCAACCTGCTGAACTGATTCCCCAGTTTTCCACCATTGAGTACACTGTTCAGGTAAATTTCTTTATCTATTTGATCTACCACTATATATGCAGCTAAAATTGACCTGGTAATAATGGTTGTCACTTGTTTCCAACCGTCAAAATGACACAGCATTATTATATTACTATACTAGTTTCACCAGCTTCTGGGTTGGCATATTAAAATAATTTTAACTCTTGGTTACAGTTAGGAAGTGGTTAGGGTTAGGGCATTTTCCATGCAAGGCCGAGGATATTCAGTCAAGAGAAATGATGTTATGTCATTATTTTTTTTGGAAAGTGACAACCCCTGGTATTGGCTGGTAATACTCTAAATAAACTGAATAAACTTTATACAGTATGCACATAAAAATCAAAGCAAAAATAAATAAATGAACTGTCTAGATAACTAAGAAAAGTATTTATGTGTTTCACAATCAACACAATATGTCAATACACTAACACAGTATTTAGATCCCTAATCTAACCAATCCTAAAGCATGATTCTCTGGTCACACATGTGACATTGCTGTTTCTTCAGGCTTCATATTTTGCATGTAACAAAATAGAATAGCATTGTCACATGTGTGAGAAGAGGATCACCCTAAAGCTAAAACTTGGACGTATTAGGAAATTACATACCATGCAATGATACTCAAAAAGAAGGTCTGCGGGCATTCATTATTTTAGCTTTGTTTTTAATAGCTACTGAATATATACATCTAGAGTGTTATTTGGACACTAGGTTTTTCATTCAGATCATTAATGGTACTTAATTACTCATAATAACTCTGATTAATAAGTACTTTATGTTTCAACTTGTGTAATTTTCATAGCGTGGCAATCCAGGACCATTGATATTCTTACTTGTTGTTGATACTTGTATGGATGAAGAGGATCTGCAGGCGGTGAAGGTGAGTGACAGCTCTCTCCTTGTATCAGGTTTCCTTGTGAACTCTTATCCAAATGCAACTGCAGGTTAAGGTGGCTCTATACCCTTTCCAAGCAAAGAGGACTAGGTTTGAGAGTGATACATCTCGCACAAGTTTTAAATCTCTCATAAAAATTATATCCATTTATACTGCAAAACTCTATGGAGCCTCCTTAAAATGGTTCGGCAACCTGCATTGTGGCCATATTTGTTCCCTTTGCCCAATGAAAATATGAAGTTCTTTCAAATGTAGCTCATCAGAAGAGGTTAACCTGTTATTTGGAAACAGTGTTTTCGCTGCCCAGTACAATCTGGCATTAGCCAAAAATTGAACTTTTTTTATTTTTTAACATTTGCGCTTGGTTATTTTTATAAGACCAAGTTCCAGTTCATTTTAATATTTCACGTGTAGAACTAATTTAACAAACGGGAAAATAACATTCATGTTAATAGCATGTAGAATTATATTTGCATTTGGAAATATTTCCATGATAAAGATAGAAAACATTTCTTTGGTTGAAGTCTATTTTGGCATCAAATTTTTCATCTTTACACTTTATTAAGACTGTCGCTATTTAAATATTGTGTAAATGGAAAAGGTTACTTTTTTATTTCTTTTGTTTAGGAATCTCTGCAGATGTCTTTGAGTTTAATGCCACCAAATGCCCTGGTGGGGTTGATCACTTTTGGAAAGATGGTAATAATGGCCTTTGTCATTAAACTATATTCCTATTCTGCGTAATGATTAATGTCTATATACTGAATTTTCTAATTCATCATCATGGTTTCAGGTTCAAGTTCATGAGTTGGGTTGCGAAGGTTGTTCGAAGAGTTATGTATTCCGAGGAAGCAAGGACTTAAACTCGAAGCAAATACAGGTGAGAATCAAGTGTACTGTCACATCGGTGTTCAGTCATTCTGCAACCTGAGTCGATTTAGAGCCGTTATAGGGTATGACGCCGCGTTTAGAGTGTGCCGGAATTGCTAGTTTTAACGTCAATGTCCCCCGTTAGAAGTCATGTTTGTCTAAAATAAGGTTAATCTGATGTTAATGTACAATTTAAGCTCTTCAACTCTGGCTCACTGTGCCGGTGCTTGTATCAGTAATATCAACGTAAAACTTCAATAAATAATTTTTTGGGGCCGGTTGTACGATAGCCGGATAGTGCTATCCACCAAATAGTGAATTTTTCAACGGTTTTAAAATGCCAGAGAAAAAATGAAATTACAGATTTGGAGCTAGCCATTGTTAAACTGAATTATTAATCTAGGAATTAAACCAGGTTGGGTTATACCTAACCACGGGCAATTTTGAAGCGATCAAAAAACACACTATCCGGCTTTAGTACAACTGACCCCTGTAGTACATGTATATAGTACATGCATGTATATCCTTAAACTATAGTAGTATCAATACTGTAGAGAGAGTACACGCTATTTAGGCTATTTAGAGCTGCGGTAACGATTTATACTGTGGTTTCTGCTGTGCTTTCCTGCCCGGGACAACCTTCTGTCCTCCTCCCCCCCCTGTGAAATCTCTGTTTGCGTCTGTCAGAGTGTAAAATGGTGAAGTTATTCACGATAGTTAAAGTTTATTGTATTCAATATCCTCACCGTTCGTTGTATTTCTGTAGCAAATGCTTGGTTTAGGTGGTGGTGCCCGCCAACCGAATGCCCAGCCTGGTGCTCGAGGCCAGATGCCGTCACAAGGCAGTGATATTTTCAACAGGTTAGACGTTGGTGTAAAATACAAACACATGCGTGCACGTTACTTGTGCATCACCCGAACACGTTGTGCATCATGCACGTACACCCACAGCTAAAACGTTGAGTTCTGCTATTGTAAAGTCCGAGTGTCAAGTGTCATTTCACTCATTTTGGCCCAACGAAATCATTTTCTGACTTCGAAAGTCTCCTCGTAGGCATGATCGCTCCTTGCGTCTTTGATATATGTTTTTTTTAATACAGTCTGTCATTATACTGTAAAATGTTTATGAGACCCCTCACCAGTGAACGAAAATATTCCCTTCAGACATTCAATTTTTTGCTCTAAAGAGAACACGTGCGAATCTTGTCCCTATAGGTTTTTGCAACCGGTACATAAATGCGACATGAGTCTGACAGATCTGCTGGGTGAACTACAGCGAGATCCCTGGCCTGTGGGCACTGGTAAACGACCATTGCGATCAACTGGCGTGGCCATGTCTATCGCAGTTGGACTGCTTGAGGTAAAAACACAATCACAGTCAATATACGCATGAATGGTTGGGACACATGGCAAAATTTAAAGTAATAATATTGAACTAGGATTGAATGTCGGGACGGCTTCACCATGCAAAATCTATTCTTATATTCTTGCACGTTTGCATAGTGACATCAATTATAAGTAAATTAGCTTGTAGGTACACCACGTAAGTATTTAATAGTGCAAAGCTTTCGGTCCGTTAACCCTGGTCTTCATCAGTGCAATTACTTGAAAAAACATTTACACGTCACTTAAAATAAATAAAGAAAAGGGCTCAAAATTGATATGAGCGAAAATCTCTTCATATATTCTCAGAGTTGCAAAAAGAGTTCAGCCTTCCTCCGGTAGGATTTCAAGTTTTGAAAACCTTCCTCAAAATGAGGTTACGTGACCGAGTCAAGTGGCAACCAGCATAAAGAAATGTTTGGTTTTTTGGTACATGCATGTGATCAATTAGAGTGTTCAACTTTGAACCTTCCTCACAAACCTAATTCAAAGCAAACCTTCCTCCGGGTGGCACCCGCATACCCGCAGCTTTTTTGCAACTCTGTATATTCTATGAGCGAATAGCTACGAATTACTCTTTTTAATTCTTTACTGAATTTTGGCTAATAAAAGCAGTGAATTATTTAACGTACAAAATTTGAAAAACTCAACTACAGTTGCATTCCCCCCAAATTTGTTATCTTACCCCAACATGGTTCGTGTTCCGTGCATTGTGATACTGGCAAATAAAGATGGAAAAACACCATGTTCCTTTGAGGTGTGTTTAAATGATAAGTAAAATGTGTTTTCAAGCAATTGCACTGATGAAGGCCAGGGTTGACGGACCGAAAGCTTTGCAGTATTAGAAAAAATACTTACGTGGTGTTCCTACATGCTAATTTATTTACTTAAAATCTATTCTAATCTATTTTATTTCTAATATTCACCAGTATCTACATATACATGTATACGCGCTTGTGACTAAACGAAATACTTTTATTGTAAAAAAATAGGAGCAATAGGGTGATGATCTGAAATGGCGGGAAGGACTGGAACTAGTTGTGAAATAAAAATCCATTTCCCGTTTGAAACAACTTGAGTTCTCTTACGATTTCAGTGCTATAGTTCTTATGTTAAACATAATCACAAAACTTCGCCTAGTTTCATAAAGAATAACGAGAGATATAATCGATTAATAACTGCAGAATGGATTTCTATTTTGACAACCCTTTTGGCGCTGATTTGCTAAAATATGAGCCCGTGATTAGCCATATCAGTTCATACAGCTTGTTTACCTCTCTTGAAATTGTTGAAGACTCTGACCATTGTTTGTGATTGTTGGAAAATATTGGGAGTAGAGATATACTCAGGCTACTGTTATATGTTGATCAGTGCTTCCTTCGCGTCATGTACAATAGGTACTGTTCTTTGTTCATATCATGCAAATTATGTTTCTTTGTATAATTTCAGTGCACCTATCCAAACACTGGTGCACGAATCATGACCTTCATTGGTGGTTCTTGTACTCAGGTAAGAATATTTATTACATTACATCATGTTGGAGTCGTTAAACAGTAGTTTAGTTTCAGTTGAGAAAATTAGCGCCGGAATTCAGGAGACGTTTTTAATTGTTTGTAAAATTATTTCATGGTTTTCCTTTTTTTAGGTAAAATATTTTTTGTATTATACAATATGTAATACATCAATGTGATTGTTTATCCGCGTAGGTAGCGTACGAATTTCCAAGGTTCCATGTCAACATGTTTGTTTTTGTTCAGGGTCCAGGCATGGTCGTTGATAACGAATTGAAGAATCCAATCAGATCACATCATGATTTGGAGAAAGACAACGCACCATTTGTGAGAAAGGCGTGCAAGGTAAAATATCGTATGAACATAAAGTATTATATATCAATTCAGATTCCCCCATTTGAGAAATCGGAGCTAATTTAATGTGTTGGGCATTTTGCTCCTTTGGACCATGTGAACAAGGCGTCAAAACGTCAAAAAATTACACTCGTCTGAACATAGCCTTGGTTTTCCTTATACCTGCATCTACAGTACTTCTAGTATATCTTAGTGCTGTTTTCTAATCTTTGCGAGGTTTTGCTTTTTAACTGCAATGCTTGAAGATTGATTATTCAAACAGATTTCTAGAAAATTACCGGCAAGCCTAACTTACATTAACGGGTGACTATAGTGAAAAGGAATGATTCGTGATTTTCCTTCTTTAATGTAGCACTTTGAAACCCTCGCCAATAGAGCTGCAGAGAATGGTCACGTGATTGATATATTTTCGTGTGCCTTGGACCAAACGGGTCTTTACGAGATGAAATATTGTCCTAATCTTACAGGGTAAATATTGGACACATTAATCTTGAGGCCCTTAAACTTTCTCTCTGTTTAAACAACTGAGTTTATCTCAATTCAATTCCTGATATTTAACTTCAATTTAACTTCGAGGTGTGAGAATCCCGATGGAGGCCATTGTCAAGAAACGATTTAATATTTGGAGAATAAAATTCCTTAGGTGGTCTTTATTCTCTCTTTGACCATTGCTCCATCTATTGTTCAGCATCGTAGAATAATTCCATCCATCGCATTTCCTTGCAGCGGTCACATGGTGATGGGAGATTCGTTCAATACAGCTCTATTTAAACAAACTTTCCAACGCATGTTTTCGAAAGACGTTCGTGGCGAATACAAAATGGCGTTTGGAGGAACGCTTGAAGTCAAGGTAGGGCTGTGAAGGGATAGCTACTGAACGGGGGAGAACACACCCTTGTAATAATAACCACTGATACGATAGTAACTATAATATCCTCTTCTTTAATAATAATCACCAATACAAATTAGCAAATCCCCGTCTATGTGTTATGTGCTCGCTCCCCTTATATATATTGTTTCTTTCTATCTTCTGTGTATGTCTCTATCTCAAATTACATGGTAACGTAACTATACTACAATAACCACTGATACTGATTGCGGGATATTGCGAAACTTTGGGAAAGCGTGAAAAAGCACGAGCCGTAGGCGATCCTGCTCGCTAGCATGATTTTCATTTGACTTCTTTGTTAGGTAATTTATACTCGTTAACCCCTACATCATGACTTAATAACACTTCCCTAGTGATCCACTTTTCCTTAGAGTTGAGAGCTGTCATGACGCTCATGCTAAGGTGCTAACGTCCCAAGACTACAGCTATGTGATTACGCACCTGCTCATTCCACCTCATTTTTGTTCTGTGTCTTAGACCTCTAAAGAACTCAATGTCTCAGGTTGCATCGGGCCGTGTATATCTATCGACAGAAAAGGACCGAATGTTTCTGAAACGGTAATTTAAATGCATCATGGTTTGTTGCCTACGACATTTTGTTTCAGTCTTTGCAGTTACACCACTAAAAGCTATCGCTCAATGACACTGATGAAAGCCCGGCTTAGCGGACTAAAAGCATAACCGTATAATAAATATTCGCTGTGTGTTAGTTAATTCTAATATAACAATTTTTCGTAAGATCTCTTAAATAATCTAGGTCGTTTGAGTGTAATGAATAATGATTATGCCTTCCGAAATGCTCTAGGAAATTGGAGTGGGTGGTACTTCGGCTTGGAAACTTTGTGGATTTGATTCAGCCACGACATTGGCCGTTTTCCTGGAAATAGTAAATCAAGTGAGTGAAGATTTCTCTGGTATTTCATATACTCGCAATTAAGATAAATTTTTTACACAATAAACTTGGAAGAGACAAAAAAATAAGGTTACAAATAGCGGCCATTTTGAAACATCATTGTTTCCATAGCAACGGCTTTCATAGTTAATCCATCAACAACGGGCTTGATACAACCGGTCCCTGTCCATTATAATCAAAAGTATTATTGATCTTTAGCCTACAATATTGGTGTTTAATTCGGTACAACAAACCTGCTATCTAGAATTTTTACAAAACTCTAGGGAGCCACCCTAAGCCATCCATCGTCTTTACAAAGCCCCCGTCGCAACTTTAGAAGTTTTATCAACCTCTTTATGTCATTACAGCCCCAATAAGTAATTATGCACTGGCTGCTCACTATTCACAATAGTTTTTAATTGACTTCTTCTAATGTATTTTTCACTTTTTTAACTTCAGCACACAGCACCGATACCACAAGGTTCACGAGGTTGCGTCCAATTTATAACACAGTACCAACATTCTAGTGGTCAGCGGAGGATACGCGTTACAACATGCGCACGAAATTGGGTAGATGCCGGAGGTTTAGCGCACGTGTCTCTGGGTAAGTGCTGGTATACTTGACGTTCATATGTGCTCCGGGTACATGTGCATGCTTTTTGGTATACGAAAAATGCATTTATGGAAATTTTTAAACGAAATTGATTTGCAGAGCAATATTTGGAAATTTAATTTGATTGGGGAAATAAATTGATAAAAGGGGAGATAAATTGATCATGTCAGGGATAATTGTGATTGTGTTATTCTAAGTTCCAACCAGACAGGCCTAAAAATTAGCTTCACCAAGTTCGCTTGTTATATAGGCTACTTTTTACAGCTTTTTCAGCTTACTCGTGAGTCGTGTGAGAGTCGTGTCCCGTGCTAGCCTAGCCTATAAAACCCACAAATATAGAAGAGACTAGATTGAGTCCGAAATATCATGCACGTATTCGAAATGTCTTCAACTAGTGGTAGCTCATGTGGAAGAGCGTTGGACAATAGTCGCGGGTACGATTCCCACAATGGTCAAGCCAATTTTTCAGCTTGCCCGTTTGGTAAATCAGAGCAGCACCATCAGAGAAACAAAAATTATGCATTTACAAGATCCAATTCCGACTTTATCCAGGTTTTGACCAAGAAACATCGTCTGTAATGATGAGTCGTATCGCTGTATTCAGAGCAGAGACAGACGAGGGGCCAGATGTGCTCAGGTGGCTTGACAGAATGTTAATCAGACTTTGTCAGAAGTTTGGAGAGTTTAATAAAGAAGACCCGAGTTCATTCCGTTTAGCAGAAAATTTTTCACTTTATCCACAGGTACAAGGATTTCGTTTGTCTCTTTTTGTTTTGACTTTTATAGATATCGTGTCCTCCACTATAATTGCTCTTACTGAACGAGTTCCCAACAAATTGACTAGATTTTTTGAGGATGTTTTCAAATCAATAGACGTTTTTGACGAATAAAATATCTCTTCGCCAGTGAATCGTTTATTGAGGTTTTCATGAAATTTATTCTGTTAACTTTTCAGTTCATGTTCCACTTGAGGCGGTCACAATTTCTACAATACTTCAATAACAGTCCGGATGAAACATCATATTACAGGTCAGTTAACATTAACATTTTGCTTTCAGCATGTAGAATAGACCTTTTCGGTAATCACCTCACAACATTATCGTTTTAAATTTAGAACCACTTAAATGAGATGGATTTCAAGTTTTACTCCCACAATCTATATGTTTAAAGGTTCGAAACATCCTTCTACAACCCGTAAATCAAAAATTATTTTTTATTTTGACTAATATGCAAATAAGCCAGAACGCGGGAACGAGGCTCGTGGCCCCTCTCGTTCACGTGTTATGGCTTATTTCCGCATTTATTGGTCAAAAAAAAACTTTTTCATGCATGCGTTGAAAAAGGATGTTTTGCATTTTCGCACATGGCTCGTGTATAAATTTAAAACGTTGTGATGTTAAAATTTTATGACGTAATTACCGAAAAGGTCCATTTAACTGTTAACGAAAGAAAATGTTTTTCAAAGTTCTCTTTTCATATTTGAATCATGGGTTAATAATAGTCCAGAAACCTTTTCAGCAGAAAATTTTGCAAAATTATTAAGAGAAAGCCCGGTAAAGTCGTCTTATGGACTAGCTCAAATAATTTAAGAAAATGCAAGGCAAAATACTCACGGAGGTTTTTGACTCTTAAAGCGAGTGCAAAACCTATTTGTTTCAGAAATATATGTTATTTTCCGGCTGCGAGGTCCGGTTTGAAAAATATTTTCCCGAGGTATCAATTTCCTAATCCTGAGACTCAGCAATGGCGACAAAAACATACGCTTTCGCTCATATTCTGGACCGTGATAAGATATCGTAAAATTCCGCCCGCTGCTACACCCAATCAGATTACAGGTGATTTGTAAAAAAATAATATTTTATATTGCCTGTTAAAAAGCTGTATTTTCATAGTTATTTTCTATTTTTTTCAGACACGTTCTCAACCGTGAAGATGTTACGAATTCCCTAATCATGATCCAACCCATTCTATATTCCTATACCTTCCATGGACCACCTGAGGTATGTTTTTAAGTTGAAATTTAAACGTCCAATTCAAGCGAACGTCGAACGGATACATGACTTGGAGTAAGCATGTGGGGTTTGCGTATAGGAGTTTTATCAACTATACGGCCTGCATAGTTTTTAGCACTAATTTAGTTACGCTCTTCAAAAGTTTACAAAATTTTGCCGCCAAACTTGGCAATTTTACTAAGTTTAGTAAATTCGGCAATTCCCTTTTTGTCAGCTAAAACGTTGTAAAAAGTTGGTCTATTAATGCAAGTGGTCCATTGTTTGTGGCCTTAAGCTGAAGTGAAATTCTTGACTTGCCAACCTCGCTTACATATAAATCTTTTTCTATTTCAGCCTGTGTTATTGGACAGCAGCAGTATACAAGGAGATCGTATTTTATTACTTGATACATTCTTCCAATTGTTAATTTACCATGGAGAGGTGAGGCTGACTAAGAGTGTTTCAATGACGCATTCTCGCATGAACTACAATCTGTTATAAATTCAGGTTTAATTAAAAATTATTTAAAAGATTACCAAATTAAAATTAAGTTAATAATTATTCAAGTTCGTATTAATTTGGAGTCTATTTTGATTTCAATTCAGACAATTGACCAGTGGAAAAAGCAAGGTTACCACAACGATCCACAACATGAAAACTTCCGACAGCTGCTGCAAGCGCCGAAAGACGACGCACAGGAAATTCTACAAACACGTTTTCCAATGCCTCGTTATATTGATACACAACATGGCGGAAGTCAGGTACGATTAGGGATTAGTCTTTTATTCCGGGGTATAAGTAAGGATAAATGGGGACACCTAGAAGGATAGACCCTTTTCTTTTACCTTTCAAGCGCGCAATGTGTGACGGTAGTTGATTTATCAAGTTCGTTCTGAGTTGTGATAGCGCTGTATATATGTTCAGGAACTTTTTATAAAATATAAAACAATAAAAACTACAGTCATCGTCGGAAGAAGACCTTATTTATTCTTCTGATGAAAACTAAAGTTTAGTCAAAGCGCGTTTTTTATCAATGTTTACCTTTACGAGTTTTATTGTTCTATATTTTAAAGAATCGAAAGCTATAATTTCAAGCGCCGCTTATTTCCTAAAGTTGAGAGCTCAAGCTTCATTTTGAGGGGCAAATTCCTTTCATGTTAAACAGAAATTCAAATTCGTGATACGTCGTCACAAATTTCTTACAAATGTTTCAATCTTCTTGGGGCCACCTTAAACGAAAGCTTCGTATTATATAGATTTGGGCTTGCATTCGGGTGACGGTTTGATTATATTGTACAAATAATGAATGTTTATGAGTGCAATGGTAAAAATATTTTCACGAGGTGAAAGATGGAATGTTCCATTCAACGAGGCGATAGCCGAGTGAAAATATTTTTACCATTGCACGAATGAAAACATTCATTATTTGTTTTATATAATACCAAAATAGACTGTGTCGTTTCAAAAATATAATTTATTAAAAAACATACTGTATGGATCAACAACCACCATATGTGCGAGAAGCATTTTGATGGATGGTATTTACTGAAAGCATTAAGAGTGCAACGGAACAAAATGTATAGTACAATTGCACTCTGGAGAGTGCAATGGAACGCTTTCCATTGCACTCTTGGGAAATGGGACTTTCTATTCAATATCACGTGATCGTCATCAACCAATTAAACGCTCTAGATTTAATGGGGTATTATATAATATAATATTATTAACATCAAGGATCAAGTGGAGTGTAGATAACCATAATCAAAACATTCAGACAATTTTATACTCAGAATTACTATATTTACACAGAAACTTTCTATTTATGCGAATAAGTACATGGAAACTTATCAATAAACTTCAAAGCTTGTAATATTTACTGCAGCGCATAGCCATAAGAAGAATACGTAGAGGTATTCAGAAAAATAACCTGTGTCGGCCCGACCAAAACAAGTGCACCATTTGCGCTGCAGACAAGACGATAAAATACCATATCTTTCGCTACGGTTGGAAGAACCAGTAAATATGAGTACTGAAGTTCACCTGTTTCAACAGACCAATATTCTATCAATATCTTATCACTTGAAGGCCAAACGTAGCTAATAACATTTTTTGAAACGTGGTCGTAAAATATACCGTTATAGCCAACTCCCTTCTCACTTGGAAAAACTCTTATAGACTTTCTTAACTCTTCTTCTGCGAAGATGTGAAACGCGTAGGAGAAATTCGAAACGGTCTTCTCGCTCGTTGCGACTATAATTTCACTATTGCTCGAAATGGACAATGCTTTTATTTCACGGTCATCGTCATTTAGACCTGTGTCGAAGCTGTTTATCAACTCCCCTGTTTTGGTGCATAAATATACCGTGATACACTTTAGCCAACTCCCACAGGCAATGACAATTCCTTTATCGTCGGTGACAGTGATTGCCACATTCTTATAAACGACATTTCCAAGAAATGTCAACACCCAACGATGGATATTTTTTCCATCCGCACTGTACGCGGATAACGTGCTGTCGCTCGACAGAACATAGAGTACGTCGTTCTTATCGACAGCCATGCCAACAGGAAAAAATATGCCATTTTCTGATGAACAACTGTATGTCTCCATCTGACCTGTAGTTCTATCGAGTTTCTGAGGACAGCGTCGGCTGCATTTAGCAAAACAGACGAGATTTCCATTATTGGTCACTACAGCCAACTGTGGAATCAAGCATGAGTGTTTCTGAAATTTCGGTAAAATGACCCAGGGTGGTGTTATTTTCATCGCCTCCATATTTGTTGAGCACATTTCCTCATGATGAAGTGCCATAAAGTAAACAACACGTTTTCTGTCGCACTTTATCATCGGCCAATCGAAAGCAACCATTCTTTTCTTCGTGAACTTCGAGATAAAATCAGCCAAGATGAAATTCATCATCTCCAGAGTTTTAACGATTTTCTCTCGGGTATCCTTCTTGAAAAGGGCTTTCACTCCTCCTTTGAAGTGCACAGAAACTATTTCTTGTAACGCAGGCATATCGTGTAGTTCTTCCAGGTAATGCAAGCAGTCATTTGCTGCGGCTTCCGGGTCGTCTACGCGTTCCAATATTCCGCTGGCAATCCGTAATTTACTCGCTAAAACTCTTTCTTCGATACTCAATGCTGTGTTATGAAATGCTTCACTCGCTTTTTCCTCAGCTTTTTTAAAAGATTGTTTGGCCGACACGAAACGTTCATTCGATTCAATCTTCAACTTCCTGATGGCATTGGCAAGTACAGCTGCCTCTCGCACGGTCGTTGAATGTTCCGCTGACTTTGTTTCAGATTTGAATGTTTGTTGAGATTGCTGTCCGCTTGGTAATTCTAGCGTCCATGTTTTTCCATCTTCAGAAGATTCGGCAAACGACGAATGCAAGCGCTTGATCCCTCGCTGTAGACAACTAATGCTCATAAAAAGATCCTTTCTCGAACTAGCATCAAGTTTCGATTGAATATCGTCCAATTTACCAACGATCAAACCTCGCAACTTCTGATCCGTGAGTCCGCCATCCTTAAGTTTCTCGGCGGCATAAGCACGAGCCTTGTCAAATATTAAACCGAATGCGGCTTTCAAAACGCCAGTGATTATTTCAGACATTGTTAGACAGCAAAGTTAAGTTCAACTGTGAGGAAATATTTTGCCGGATCACGAGATTGTCGTGGTGAATTTATGCTCAATTAACCCTCATAGATTCAGTTGTGTAAGCCAACAGGGGGTCTCGTGGGGTCATCCTGCATTACCCAAAATATAGAATTTTACGCCGTAGAAACGCACCACTCGAATTTATCATACTTGCAAAGTATTCTGGTCTCTAGTGATCTCCAAAGGTTCGCGGCCCAGTGTTTCTTACGTCTTAAATTATTGCAAGGTGTGCCTAAGGGTGAAGCTAGACGCCTAATTAAAGGGATATTCATTATTCCTTTACATTAATATATGAAGCCCCCCCCCCAAACTTAAGGTTCTAGCCACGGCACTGCTTTTGTGATCCGACCATTAAAATATACGTACACATTTTCAGAACACTGAAACAGTCTGTTTCTATTTCCATTTACTCATGCATCCAAAAAATATCGCGCAACTCCGAATCAGTATATATATATATATAAATATCAATCACGTGAGCATTAAACATTGTTTATTTCGCTAATTTTTATCTTGTTTCTCTATTATTATCAATATTGTTAACCTTACTATTATATTTATGAAATTTTTAATAAAGATTTTCACGGATTTCCCATAAAATTAACGTATGCAGTAAAATCACGTGACTGATATATACGTATATATATATATTTCAATATATATATATATATATATATATATATATATATATATATATATATATATATATATATACGTATATATATATTTCAATATATATAATAATATATATATATATATATATATATATATATATATATACACCCGTTTGCAAAAACGTTGGCCGCAGATAGATATATAGATAGATACCCGAAATCTAATTAGAATTGCATATGTTGTGTAATATGATTGAAATCCCATGCAAATGTATTCATATGCAATTCTAATTAGACTTCGAGTATCTATCCATCTATCTATCTGCGGCCAACGTTTTTGCAAATGGTGTATATATATATATATATATATATATATATATATATATATATATATATATATATATATATATATATATGTGTATATACGTGTGTGGTAAATATATATATATATATATATATATATATATATATATATATATTATTACATATATATTACTGGTGATTTCATGTCATTTTTCGAGTTGCCTAGGAAAACAACAAGACTGGGTTAAAAGACTTTAGAATGATGTCATAATGCTATTGTTTACGACACAGGCAATATCCTAAACTGTTTCCGCAGTATAATCTTATTATTATACTATCATCTTAATTAGAGGACAATGAGCTTTTCAGCCCGTCCAACACAATAGCTATACCTACTAGTTAAGCAAACAAACTCACGAAGCGTTACCTCAGCCAGTTCTCTCAAACATCAAGAGTAATTCATGCACCTCGAAATTTGTGGAGTTACGGGTTAAGTTATCTGCATATCATCGGGGGCTGTTAAGTGTTAACCAAACCAAGAGTTCTCGTGCGCGCTGGTCTCGACCATTGTCTTCATTACCTTAAATAGTCATTAGTATTTGGAAGCTGTTTATATCACGTTCCACGCCTTTCATTCGCACGACATGCAATAAATAACAGTCCAAATCTATTGGCCCATATACTTTAATATACTAACTAAAGAACTACACTAAAGTACTGTATAAATATCATTCAATTTACGTTTATGGTAAAACCGCAAAGTTTGTGTACGAAATATTGTACGAAATTCTGTTAAATGCGAGAAATGTTGGCCTTGCAAAGTTTGCAAATTTTGCTTTTGTACTTTTCACTTACACGCAGAAATTTTTACCAAAATTGGGTTGAAAATGGTAACAATTTACCCACGTGACACTGACAAACTTCGTAGCCAAAGCTTGAACTTAATTTTTGTGTGTCTTTTCTCGTTCAACGTTAGTCCACAAGGCAAATGGCCATTTTTAATACAATTTTAGCTGCTCGTCTGTATTAAATCAGATTTAACGTGACCTTTCTCTGTTTGTGTGTTGTTATTATAGGCACGTTTCTTGTTATCAAAAGTGAACCCGTCTCAAACACACAACAACATGTACGCATGGGGTCAGGATGCCGGTGGGCACGACTTGATGACGTCAGCTTGCAAGTCTTTATGGATCATCTCAAGAAACTCGCTGTCTCGAACACGTCTTGATAAGCAAGCGAATTCAAGCAATCAAATCACGAATTTTATTTTGTTCACTGTTTTTTTTCTTTATGTTTACACTACAGAGATCAATGATTAAATTAAAAGTTTATTATATGATTAAGTGATATCAAAGGTGTGAACGTCTGATTAAATGGACTGACTGAAAATAAGACCTTCGTGTTTTTAATCTTGGCCCCACGTAGCCTGTGTGCAGACGTCCTGAACCGTAGGCTAGGCCCACGCGACAACGAATTTGGAAACCGAGGATGGCGCAGTCAGGCGCACGAAATATTTTCTCTTTGAACCCAGTCCCTAACCAGTCCCACCCTTTCCTAACCGCAAATCACGAAACCCGTAGCACAACGATATAGTCCGATTTTGGTTGAACTAGCGACCTTACGGCTTGAATTTTCTTATTAGTAATATGAAATGCGTACTATGTGTGATATCAGTGAGTTTAAAAAGCACAAAATATACGACGCGGACGTGAAATAATACTGCAAGCCTTTACAATAGTTCCAGAACAGAGTTAGCAGCTGTTTTCATGTGACAATTTACATTTGGTACATCTTAAAAACTCGCTAATCAGCAATTAATATATTAGCCAATAGGGGTACGTTTTTTTCTCACGTGGTTGAATATATCCGTAGTATTTATAGTTTATGCTTTATTGTGCTTCAGTGCGCATTTTAGCTCAGCCGAAAGGCGAAAGTTCTTGTCTGCGGCGGACATGTATAGAGCTGAGCTGAAGAGAATGCATGGTCAAACAGCTCAGTGGTCGAACCTTCAGGCAATCGCTCGCGTGTGCGGCGAGCTAACGCTATGCTGCGTTCATGGGGAACAAAGAGTTATCCCCCATGCGGAGATCTCGCTTGTTGACATGCAGGCGGGCCCAGTGGCTGTGGGCGAGACCTCTTGTCTTGGTGACCGTGCATGGTAATGTTTTGGTAATGTTTTCGCAACGTGAAAACAACTTCCCGCTTGATTGGATAATGTTTTGCCGTGTACGTCATAGCCGGAAACATTTACCTGCTATAATGCGATAATGCTCCCCATATGAAAAAAATGATTATATATAGACTGAATGCATTGCGTTTTCTCGCCAACTTAAATAGCTTTTTCTCTAAGAAAGTTAAACCCGTCTTCGTGCTCCCTATCCAATTTCACGATACCGGGTTCACGGCATGAAATATCATCGTCGGAAAGCGAATCAAGCATCAATATATATAGAAAATAGGGAATACAAGTAATACATCTAAAATGTGGTAAGATCAGGCGAAAGCGGCAGACGACCGGCCTTTGAATTGATATTGTGACCGTGCGAACCTCGTGCGTTTAACTAAGGTCGAAACCAGAGAAACTCATGATAACATATGCTCACGGCACATGCTAACGTCAGTTCCAATATTATATATCGCTTTCTTTAATCTTTGGTAAGAAGTAAGCAGGATAATATAATCGGGGTTTAGACGACGTGCGATGAAACCTTTTTCTTTCGCTTTTTTTGTTGTCACTTATGACTCATCGGTTGTTAGGGTGTTTGGTCCTGTCTAATCTGCCCTGGTAAAACTGTCAACTTGGGAGCTTACACTCTCACACTTATTAATCATTCTTCATTATTTCGTAATGACAAACTTGATACTGTTCCTCGATATCGTGTGTGAGTAAACCCTCAACAAATATAAGTTTCTTATATCAGTTTTCCCAGATTCATTTCATAATTTTTTTTTTAATCATGATTTTGTTTCGCCCTGCTCGTAAATTGTAATGTTATCATGCATAGAGAAATAGGCTCTGTGTTTAATAATCGGACCCAGACCGGCGTCATTTTAAAATTGTACTCATAATTATTCACATAGATTTTTTAGCAGTCTTTAGTCAGACTTTAGATAGTACAAAATATCAGCCATCCCACAATTCATGACAATATCGAGGTTGCTGCATCATTATCAGTATAATTATTCGCGTTTGTTTCATTGGAAACATGGAACCGACGAAAAAAAACAATCCAAAACAGAAAAATAGCCGCAAACTCAAGTTTCATAGTATTGATCCGAAACAAAGATGACTTAGCACATTTTTTTTGTGCCAGAGATCCGATTATATATATATATTATAATATATTTTACGCATGTAAAATTTTGCTCCAGGTTGTAATACGTTTTTTTGTAATCATGCCTTGAGGCAAATATCTTCCTCTATATATTATCGCAGTTGTGCAATATTGTATACCTCTTCGTTGAAATTAGTCAGTTAATTCACGCTATGCACGCATAATGAATATTTGGCTGCAAAATTAGGTTAAGGAAACGTTTTTGATCCAGAGTTTCCAGACAATATGCATCCTTTTCCAGCATTAACTAAAGTATTAAAAAAATGCCTCTCCCGAGAGAGAGAGTTGTCAATTTAGATTGGCCTATACAATATGTCCTATTATTTGCCACGAATCTGCCATTGTTCATGTAGGACACATTTAAACAATACTGGTTTCGCATCATTGCGACATCAGTTTACAGCTTAAAGGGGTATGGCAATAAGAATTATTTCTGTTTTGTTAAAAAGAAAATTTACACTTCTTATAGAGCCTTTTTACAAAATTTGTTTATCTAACTTTTACTTCGCAAGATATTGGCCATCAAAAACATCGGATATCGAGATATATCCGCCATCTTGTTTTATAATGAGATCTAATTACGTGACGTCAAAAGCAGGGTTAGCGACTTAAAAATAACAATTATATGTTTACGCCTTAGTTTAGATTAGAAATCTTTCAATTCAAACGTTATAATTTCAGAAACGTGCGATTGTAATACCATGGAACTATCACTTCGAGTTATCGTTAATTTGAGTTGAAATTAAACAAATTTTAAGAATGCAAGAATATAATATGCATAATATCCAAAATAGCGGATGGAAGATAATTTCATTCAAACATATCTTGAGAAGTAATAAAGTTAACAAAAATCCGTAAACGAATTTTGTACATAATCATGACGTTCTTTTAAAGTAGACAAAGATAATTTTTATTGCCGTATCCCTTTAAAGCTCAGTTTCGCACTTAATGACTTGAAATTATGATGTTCTTTCAGCCAATAAATCGTTTTGACTCCAGTAGCAACTGGGGTTATTACAAACGGCAGATGTTCTATATATCCATAGTCCATCTAGTCTTGTTTTGACATCAGTGATTGAAATGTCGATGTTTACAAGGTCTAAAACGTGGAGCCTGTCACATTGATTCAGTAAACTGATATTGATAAATTTACCCCGTCAACCTGCCTGGAACCTGCCTGGTGCTTTTCTTGCTAGCAGACTATACATCGGATTACCTCGGCGTCGAGTCGGCGGGTCACGTAGAGCCCGTTACAAGAACTCGTAGCAAGATTTATTTAGATTTTACAGAAAAATCATAGGACAGGAGCACTGAGCTGGACAAGAACTATTAACTAGTGTAATAATTTAAACATTAGGATTACAATCGTAGAGCTCGAGCTTAAAATGTCCATTCCGTTCTACCTGATTCTACCGAATTGTACTTAATTGTGCAGAATGCATAAAATAATGTTGCAAATATCTAGTAATGTCTAGTACACTACGTGTCCTTCAAATGAAGTTGCTTGACTAAAACCACGCCCCACACTCTTCACTTGTGTGCGAATCGTTCGCCAAATATTTCCATAGTTGTTTTGAAATATTTACCTTGCATAACTAATGTTTTAATTCCAGGAGAAAACTTATTAATAATGAAATTTGAAGCAAATTCATTTCAGTCTTCGAATTCAATGAACATTCCGACATTACTATGCTCCTTTCCTAACAGAATTTGCCACGTCTCGTTCCGAGGTTTTAACTTTCGGTGTTGGTTAATTTTACTCCATGCCTATTGGCATTCGAAAAAATCACCAAAGGTGACTCCCACCCTCCTGGATGGAAAGTGCTGAACCACTGACCTGTCTATATGCTGAACTGGGTGTATATTGATTACTGATATATAAAGCCCGGTGAGCTAGACAACAAACGGCTAAATATGGCAGATCTAGAATTTCTAGTGCCTTTCGCTGCCGACCTTATGTGGTAATTTTTTATGTGTATTATATACTTGGTCAATACCCTCTGGCCTGCTTCCATACATATTTTTTTTAAAGTTTTATCGGAAAAGAACCAGCCTTGTCGTGCAAAACTCTTTTACCATCTACCATGCTGGAGACCTGGAGTAACCCTCGAAAATTGTATATAGCATAGTACCACTACTGGTAGTAGGGTGCATAGTCGCATCAAACTTGTTTGTTTTTCTGCGCACTTTCTTGTAGTTTAAGCACTTAATGCTCTCAAATTCTTGAGCAACCCCCACTGCTTTAAATTATACTTTATTGCCTTAAACAATGCCTGGATTTAGCGTGGTCAAACAAGAACAAAAATCTTTGAATACCACGAGTGCAAACGTCCGCATCTTACCTTCTATTGGAATATTAAATAGTTATTGATGTCACGTGGTCAGTCTCCCATCCCTCGATCGAGCTGCTGGGCATCTCTAGTCGCGTTTGAGAAGAAGCAGTTTGATATTGCTGAAACCAATTGAATTGTTTCAAGTATGGCGGACGAAGAGCACGAATATTATGGCTATTATTACGGGGACGATGAAGATCGGGGTTTACTGGATACCGCTTGGGAGAATCAACAGAAAAAGGTACGTACGTTGCTTTGCATCGCTGCCACTCTGGCTTCCACTTCAGTGTCTGACTTTATTATAAAAGCGTGTATTATTAATAATAGATATACTCTTAATTCGTGCAACCCCACTGGTATAAACTCAATTAAGTGTACATCGTGTAATCTGCGACAAGCTGTCGTCTTTATGCAGTGTTTTTGTTTCGATTTTAGACTTTTACGGCTTGGTGTAACTCACATTTACGAAAAGTAGGCGTGCAAATAGAAACTATCGAAGACGACTTTCGTGATGGCCTCAAGCTTATGATTTTACTCGAAGTGATTTCCGGTGAACGATTGCCGAAACCTGAACGGGGCAAGATGAGAGTGCACAAAATTACCAACGTTTTAAAAGCGCTCGACTTCGTTGTCACGAAGGGAGTAAAGTTGGTTTCTATCGGTGCTGAAGGTTTGTAGGGTTGTAATATGTACATATTCACTTAGCACACATTGTATCTCATGATATGACAGAAATTTATATTGATATATACACGTACGCTTTGTAGAAATCGTGGATGGTAACTTAAAAATGACTCTGGGCATGATATGGACTATCATTCTACGGTTTGCAATTCAAGATGTCGCTTTCGAAGGTATTTACTAGCAGTACGCGAGTGTTGAAAGAGGGAACTTTGCGTGTAAGAACATATTTTGCATGGCGTTTGTGTTCCTAATCTCTGAATCTCTTTGCAAACAGAGTTATCGTCAAAGGACGGCCTTCTCTTGTGGTGTCAGAAGAAGACAGCACCCTATAAGAATGTCAATGTTCAAAACTTTCACAGAAGGTATTTTGTAACATATACTGCACTGCTTGTAATTAGTTCCCCCCGTGTGTTTTGCATATTCTAATAAACCTAAATTGGTTGTTATTGGGGTTAATTCAGTCCCCATATTAAAGCTTTTGGTTTTGTCCTTAGTTTCAAAGATGGTTTGGCATTCTGCGCGCTTATTCACCGTCACAGGCCTGAGTTGTTAAACTATGCGGAGCTCAGACAGGTCAGTTATTATTTTGATAATTTCATAGCACGCGAACATTACATTGCCTTATATGGCATATAATGTTCCCCAGAGGTGTGTCTTATTCCAAGCTTTTGTTTTGATTTGCGACAATCTGCACAGTATACTATAAAACGACTTCCGCCCACCGCTTAGCAAAATACTTTCATTGGGCTAATTAAAGCGACATATCTAAGTTGTCCGCATCAAGTAAAAGCACTATTGGTGTTTGAGAATAGATTTACTTGTCAACCAAAATAACAGTCTTTTATTGACTCATATTAATTTATAATGAAATTCATTGGCTCATAAAGAGTTACTTAAACATTTGCAAAATGAGCTTCTTTGTCCTAAAATATGTGACAAGTTTGAAATGATATTTGAGGCAAGGTATTTCATTGCTTTTGACAATGCTTAGAGTGTTCATTTTCAGTTTTCACTTACTTCCTCTTCGTTTGTGCAACAAAATAAGGTAGATTCTTGAAACCGAATAATTCAATCTTCTGGTCAGTACTAGCAAGTTATCAGCCTCTTCTTGGCAGGTTGTTGATAATGTGGCTGACTTAGTGAAAAGCTATCTATTATTTGCCCCATAATTAAACAAGGACATTGTGAGCTTATTAGAATGCCAAATGATTCAAAAAGTTTCTCTTAAACCATGTAAATGATTGTTGCATATCATTCAAAATATGGGTTGGGTCAGACCAAGTGTAGATGATATTACAACCTTCGGTTAATTGAGAATTGGGTTGATGTTTCCATAACTTTTCAAGGAATTATTTTTGTCTGTTGGGTTAGTTTTCTATTACTAAGTTACGTAGGTTAAGTAGTTTGTCTGGGGTAAGTTTGGTTAGTTTTCTATTAATAAAAATCTCTTTCGTGCACACATGTAAATGTTTTAGGCCTTAAATTGGAAGATTATGATCGGCTTGTGAACTAAGCACGTCACTCGACTCAGAAACTTAGATATTCTCACCATGTTTATGTCACAGCAGGCATGTTTATGTCACAGCAAAGCAACCTTACTAAAAGGCTGGAAGGAAATATAGTTGTTTTTCACATATATGCACCTTCTTAAATTTCAACACTTATTTGACAATTAGCATTGTTTAGTTTTCTCGAATTAGCAACCACACCTCAGTGTCAAAAACTGCTACTGCTTTTAAACTTTTTAGTGAGGTAGCATATTATACAGAACTGTTGTAAATACAACATATTAATTTGACTTTTACAGCTGATAGTTTTTGCCCTGGTTGTAGTATAGAAGATTGTGGGTATGCAAATGTCCAGAACTTTAGGAAGTATAAATTGTAAACTAATTGCTTTAAATGTAAGCACATTAAAAATGTGAAGTCAATAATTTCATATGCAAGTTGAGGTCTGAGATGTGCACTAATGACATAGAGGATCAAAATGTCAATGGTTCCCAATTTGGTGCTAAGTTTTTCAGTGTCTTTGGAGTGTATTATTTGTGGAAAATGTCTTTGCCACAATGTTGTACTATGGCAGCTCAGCATTTGTGTGAGAGGAAAACACTCAAAGAATGGAGTAGAAGCAACCAGTTTTAAAACATGCATGAGTTCAATGTGGTTTACTAGAACCCGCAAGGGTATGAGTAGGCACTAAGATTTGAAAAACATCTTCGAAATTCAAGATTTTCGCTTGAATAAAACAAGCCAACAACGCTCTTATGTACAGTTTTTGACTGTATTTTAAAATTATTGTGCTAGTAAAGGCTTTTTAGCCTTTTTATTAGAGCAACAACTTTTACATTGGTGGGAAAATCTATGAAAATATAGACAAGGAATGTAATGAAATTTATGCATCTTAATTAATATAGAGCTAGTTAATCTGCATGAGACCAGAAGACTTACTAGCATGTTGCTAACAGAAACCCTCATAATTAACTGCTGGGTACATTTCCAAATCATGACATGAAAATTAATTACCAAATAAGGTTCAAGATAGAAGTTGATTATAATTGATGCTTTATGTGAGAATTTGATTTGCCTTTCTAATTTCCTATGCCATTTCCTTCTACCAATAATCCGTGAATTTTGATTTTTTACAAGAGAATTATTTTTTTTCATAAAATTCTCCGGAGCCATATGCATGCTAAAAATGCTAAAACTGTTGGTAGCAACATTTTTTTCACGTATTGTGAAAGCATATTGGTGAGAAAATTGCATTTTTTAAATATTGAAGCTTGAACGCGTCTTCTAGCAAGAAATTTAATATGACTCTGTCTCTGTTTCAGAAATTCTATTTTCATGAATTATTTCATTGTTAGAAACACCGGACGTGATGTCACAGATGTCACATGTTGATTTCTTGCAGGGAAATCCAAAAGGAAACTAATTTAGTTTTGCAATTCTCGTAACGATATCCTATCCGGTATTTTTGATGTTGACCCTGAAGAAGTCAATGAGAATGGAATTTCCTGTGACAAAAATATATTGCACTAATTTATACGAGCTTAACTTTTGCCGTGTAAGTGGCTCTTTAATGAAGAGAGGATTCAAATATTTTCAAACATGCTTTAGACTACCGTTGAGGGCTTCTCCGCTTCATGTATACGATAGGGGCCACCAGCTTTTTACCAAGCATTTATGACAGATATTCGGCTATTATGCACATTCTCAGTTTAAAGCCATTTATAGAAGAGAAAGTAAATAGCGACGTGTGAAATTAACTCACGCGTATAAATCAAAAGGTCAAATTCCTTAATTTTTGGAATTTTTTGGATGAAAATTCACTGCTAAGAATACCCAAACATTAATCGTAAACATGTCATGGTGAGTTGTCAGACCAAAATCTCCAACTCTGTATTTAAGAGTGATTGAAATATTTATATTTCAAAATGATATAGTTTCTTAATTCTGATTGTGAGTTCCAGACCCGAACTAATGGTTTTAACCCAAATCTTTTCCTGTCATTAGGATGCTGTTTAAACCAGCCCCTTGTTATAAATCGCCTCAGACGCATTTTATGAAAATCGCACTTTATTTCTCCCGCTAGCTGGTTTACAAGCCGAAATAAGCTTTCATTTTAGTCTAGCCCTGCAGAGAACAGCAAAACATTCCTTGTGGTTCTGCAATAACTCTAGAAGGAGTTGTATCTTCAAATGTTCTTGAGTATTACATAATCTTCTTATCTTCTTCCTACAAGTATCTTATACTTGTGTTTCAGTGAGCCGTTATAGTTTAATATGTGTGACCGATCTGTCATATCTTAGCTAAAGGATGAGGACTTTGTACATTACTGTGGGCGGTTTTCCTGGTTGAATGATTGGTCGGTTTTAATTTAGTAACGGTCCATTATAAGCTGGCAGTTAAATTTGTTGTACTTAGTCTTAGTAATGGAGCCGTGGATGCCTAAATATAGACCGCAGACAACTGCTAAGATCTTGAATATTGGTCGGTCTAGTTTTTTTGTTCCTCTATTTGAGGTCCAAAAACCAGCGAAACATGTCTTATTCTCCTTTAAAAACAAAACAAGTCAGTTATCATGTGGTAAAAGCGAAAACAGAAATTTGAAGTGATTGAAAACGTGTATGTTTGGACCAAACCTTTTCTAAGTGCTTGAATGATTGAATTTAATTCTCGAGAACATCAATATTTGAGCAATTCAACTCTGCCTTTGGCCCAAAATGCCACTTACAATGAAGGCCAAAACGTTACTATGGTTTAATATGGTATTCTGTATTCAGCTTTTGGTTTTTTTCGGGGCAAAATTGGCCTATGTTTTAAATGAAAACCTAAAGTTGTTTTGAAAACCTAAAGTCCCTTCTACATCATAGTAAAATAAAGAGCAACTACCAAAGGTGCCAAATTTAGCCGTGCCGTGACAATAAAATTAAGTGTAGTCTGCGTAAACGGGGCAGGATTTTGACAGCTAGCATTTCTACATGCAGTTCAGTTATTTTGATTAAGCTCAAGTATTTGCTATGTTTGACTGTTTATATGCATGTAATAATTGCCTTTCCTTCCACCTTTCAGGATAACCCCGTTCACAATCTCAACCTGGCTTTCGAAGTTGCTGAGAAACACCTTGATATCCCAAAAATGTTGGATGCAGAAGGTAAGAGAATGAACTAGTTAAACCGATTTCGTATGCGGATTATGCGGTTTAGATCAGGATTAATACCAATCCAGGTCAGTTATCTAAAATATAAACACGCCAACCTGGGGTAGTTTAAACCATCGCATCAACTTTGTTTTCCGAAAACACTATCATCATCTAATTTAATATGATAAGGTAAAACGAAGCACAAAATCTAATGCTATAGGATTGACTTATATATAAGGGGCTGTTTACATGAGCTCGGTTACCCGAGATTCAACGAAGCGTGAGATGATTTTGAGGTATTATGATCCTGGCAGTCGTATAATCACCACTACAATAACATGTGCTTGTTTGGTGTCATAAAGACTTATTTCAATACCTCAAAGTCTTCTCACGCTTCGTTGAATCTTGGGTAACCGGGCTCATGTAAGCAGCCGCTAAGTCATCTGGGTTCGGGTCAGCCCGGCTGGAACCCTGGTTAATTTGCATATATAGTCTGGTTTTCATCATCGTAGTAGACAATGAAGCATAGAAAGAACATAGTGTGTCGAGTTAGACTGATATAAATTAGACTTAAGCCTATATATTGCATTCATAACATGAACTTAACCAACAATTTTCATCAGAGTTAAATTCGTCCTTTAGCTCACTAGTTCTCTTGATGGTGTTGATTTCAACTGTTGGCTACAAGTTCCATCATATCTAAACCATTTTCCCAAGCACGTTTTGAGAACATAACTGTCAAATTGTCACAGTGGATAGACCTTTCTCGTAATGACGTCAAACGCCGAAAGCCTATTAATAAGTTTGATTGGCTCCGCAAAACTAACCAGCCTATCCAACTTCGTGTAACATCAGGCTTTCCGGAAAATAGGACAGGCAGTCTGGAAAATATTCCACTTTATTATCCTAGAGATGGCAAGCATGGAGAAGCCCGACGAACGTGCTGTGATGACGTATGTCTCCTCATATTACCACGCTTTCTCAAGTTCGCAACAGGTAAAATATTTCGTATTGCCGTAGGCTCGTTTCAAATCTCTCTCTTCTCTTGTGCTGAAAAGGATCAGTTGAAATGACTCATGTATGGTTTTTTATCAACCACTGTTGTGAAACTCTCACAATTTCTAAGGACTGTATAATTCAACTGACTGCGACACAGCGACAGTTAGCAAAACCATCAAATTTTACGTTTAATGCATATATTTCACAATAGCGATACAAATTTACAGAACCATTCTACCTTTACTAACGATTGGGTTATATTTATAGTGTTTCTAAAGGAGGAATATATTTTAGGACCTACGTTAAAGAAAGAACATAATTTAAGACCACCTAAGCTAAGAACATTGCTTACTTATTTTAGATCTGTTTATGGGATTTAATCTACGTTTATTGCATTCAGAGGAAGAACCTGTCAATTACAATGCATAGGCATTGTTACAACTTGGACTTTGATAATGCTATAAAGTTCCCATGACTTTTATATACAACCGTTATATTGAATATACTATTATACTTAACTGGACATAACAGTTCACTGGAGATAAAAATTTACTGGACAACCACGTATACAATTCTTTTAAATTTCCCATGTGTTGAAACCATAAAATGCTTGAAGTCTTAAGAATTTCTCTATTATTGGTGCTAAAATTTTTTCCAAAATGAAAATTACATTCGTCCAATCAAAATCCGAGAACGGCGATGAAAAATCGTTCGTCCAGTCATTAACCATGATTATTCTGCTAGCGATATTTTTGTTATTTTTACTTTTACCCTTGGGTTATTTCTACTTGAAAACGAGTGACGACTCATTTTACAACAATTTCAAATATAAACAGTCGAGTCCTTAATTAATTTTATACATGAATTCAAAATGAAATATAGTGCTTTGTAGATATGGCTGGGTGTATGTTTGCTGTTTTCAGTATTGTTAAGTAAGCGAACTTTTTGTGTTTTTCAGGCTGAAACTGCATCTAAACGAATTTGCAAAGTTTTGGACGTGAACCGGGAAAATGAAGGACGAATGGAGGAATACGAGAAGCTCGCCAGTGATGTGAGTAATTCGAGTGCGCATTTGGCATTTTGGCTTAATTTTCATATTAATCTCCTGATTAACCGGGGGATCAGCGTTGGGATTAGGATTAAGGTTGGGATCTGGGTTTTGGTTGAAGGAAAGGAGTAAATCTCAGGATTAAGGTTAGGATTAGATTTAAGATCAACTTTGTTAATGAATTCAGATTTTTGAAATCAGTGGAAACTTATCCAGTATTTCAGTATAATCTTATTCCTAATGGAGTCTGGTTTGTATATTATTCTGTAGCTGTTGGATTGGATTAATAAAACGATGCCATGGCTTCAAGATCATACATCTGACGGTACTTTACCAGGAGTTAAGGTAGGTGTGTCTGTGTTTTTTTTTCATTACCGACTATGTCAAATTTTAGAGATAAAAAGATCTTGAAAGCCCTCGCGTCATAATTTTTAATCATACTTGTGATGTAATTTGTAACACATGCATGTTCCTCAGAGTTTATTTAAATTCATTTGATGCCGTCTTATCGATCTCTACGATCTATCTACTTTACTCAGTGAACTCAATGTAAGTCGATTGAAGCCGATTTAATGTACCCAGTGTCCAGTCTCTTTCTAAGTTTTTTTCTCTTCACGCTTGATGATCGCGCAGGGAATAGAACTAGTCCTCAAACTGGGAATAGAACTAGTCCTCAAGATCGGCTTAAAATTGACTGCAAAGATAGCGACCAATTAACCTTTAGTTATCGTTCCAGTTTAAATAGAGTTCATTGACTTCACTGAAAGATGACAAGTGTGTGATTCAGGCGATTCAATGATTCTTAATGTCAGTCTACAACTCATTCTGTGAATTTTTATAGTTATAGTTCGTTTTTGGGTTTTTTCTAGAAAAAGTTGGAGGAATATCGTAAATATCGTGGCAATGAAAAACCCCCTCGCGTTGAAGACAAAGCTAGCCTGGAAACACTGTTCAACACTCTGCAAACCAAACTGCGATTAAACAATCGTCCAGCATACCTTCCCAGCGAGGGAAAGATGATTAACGTAAGTTTACTTTTGATATTGCTAATTTGCTTTAGTGCTATCGGCATCTCTGACGCTACTTTGTTTGTTGTTTTTTTTCTACTTTCTTCTCTCATCTCAGTGGTTCTTCTGTTGTCATCGTCCTCTCTGTCGTCTTTCCATTCTTTCAACGCTACCTTTTCCACCGTTGTTTCTGCGCATCTTCCAAGTTGTTGCTGATGTTGTGTTGATGCTGTCGTCCCAGTTGTCTCTTTGTTGTTCTACCTATACTGTCGTTTCTTTTCCCGCTATCCTTTCTGCAGTACTTTCTCTAGTCGTCCTTGTGGTCGTCGTCATTCTGCTGATTTTCGGGCCGCGTTTTTGTTGCCAATGCTTTTATTGGTATCGTCCCGCAGCGTTTCATTTTTGATACGTTTCATTTATAGGACATCAACAACGCCTGGAACCGGCTTGAAGGAGCGGAGAAAGAATTCCAGGACTGGTTATTACAAGAATTACGAAGGTAACCTGGAAATATACAAACCAATGAGATACCAAGAGTACTTCACTGAGATTTTACTAGTATAGTTGCTGTATCTATATATATTTGTCGGTCGAATATTTGAGCGATAGTAGCTAAATTGGAGTTGTTGCGAAAAAGGCAGCTCCACTACAGGAAAATTAAAATGTAGGTGTTTGTGAATGCAAATGTCTTCACATTAACATTCGTAAATCCCATCTGCTTCAAACACATGGTACTAGACTTAGTGTATCTGCAATCGAACCGTTAGTTAATAGCGAAAACAAAACTTCTTGGATGTGTTCATGAACGCAATTTTTACTTTTCTCGTTTTTGAACATAGAATGGAAAGGTTAGATCATCTTGCGGCGAAATTCAAGCACAAATGCGATATCCACGAAGCCTGGACAGAGGGAAAACCAGAAATGTTACAACTGGATAACTATTCTGATGCCAGCCTCGCTGAAATTTTGGTATGGTTGATCATGAAATATTTAGTCTTTCACAACATACGACACAGAAGCTGAAATTGGACACTGTGTACCTTGAGTATATATTAAATCATTTTCCAAAGATAGAAACATAATTGAACCCTATGTTAACCCCAAGAAAATGCCGCCATATTTAGTAATTCTGTGTCACGCGAGGATGCATGTCTACGCGTGTATATATGTTTATCTAGGAAAGATCAAATCCACGGTCAATAGTTACGTCAACGGTCAGAATCGTATATCTCAATATAGCTCCAGATATGTTATATTTTGTTTCTTTTTCTCCAGGCTTTGATGAAGAAACACGAAGCATTCGAAAGCGACCTCGCCGCGCATCAAGATCGTGTCGAACAAATTGCCGCTATTGCTCAAGAACTGAAGTGAGTTGGGAATCATTTCTATATAACAAAAATTGAAATACTCCACAATTTCTCATTGGTAAACAAGTCAACGAAAGTAAAACTGGAATTATCAAAACAGATTCAGTTCATGCAAGCTTTCGACATCTAGTAAGCCTCAAAGCAAGGTTTATGACCTCGCGTAAATTTTGAGTGGAGTTACTGTTTTTCCACTCCGGTGGAGGGACTCTTCTATTGTTGCATGAGCGTGAACGCAATTTCTCACATTCATTTTCAACGTCGAACTTGCCGGATGCGATAGAAAAAAATGTATAACGAGGCATTTTAACTCATCCTCGTATAACTGGCAGGCATTTCTGTCCATTCATTTCTTGCCTTGATATTTAGCGCTCTGAAGTACAGTGAGATTGACGGTGTGAACTCGCGTTGCCAGGTAACGTCTTAAAAGCGTGTATATGGGCAGATCTATACCTCGATGAAAATAGTTATCATCTACCGAAGGCCGACCCACGCTCAGATATTTTTCATTGTTTTTTTTAGTCTATTTGCGATGGTTGGGACACACTAGGCCAGCTTGCTGTCGACAGAAGGCAGGCATTGGAGGTAAACGTTTACGTACTCCGATAGACAGGTGCATTTTTTACCATTTTACATGAAGTTTTTAAAAATTTAGGCATTCTGAGATTGGCTTCGCCTGAAAAATGTAAAAAAATCTGCCGATTAGATTCCTTCATGTTCTCTAAGGAATGACAATAAAATGTGTTTTCGTATGCGAAATATTCGAATTCCTCCAACGATAGGTGAAATTTTAGCTACGTAATCCTTATTTTTTTTTCAATTCCTGTTTCCTCATAGGATGCAAAAGCTCGCCGAGAACAAATAGATATGTTGCGTTTGGAGTTTGCTAAGAAAGCTGCAGTAAGTGTTTTAGTGTGGATCTCCATTATCTTGGATAACAATTTCATATCCATTAGTTCCAGTTGGTCCTAATATGCCAATCTGGCCTGTATCTATATACTGTACTGTAAAAACGTGTTTCGTGGTAGACTTTTAAAGGTGTATATGAGATTATATTGCCTTTCAATGCAGATTTTTTATTTATTGTTTTGTCTCCTAATAGCCGTTCAATAACTGGTTGGAAGGTGCTAAAGAAGATCTCATGGATATGTTCAGTGTTCATACAATTGATGAAATCCAGGTGCGTTGCTACGGGAGATGTACTTACTTCAAGAATGTTGGTTTCCTTCTCACCCCCACTACACCCCTACAACACCACTACCCTATCCCCAACCAACAATCCCCCTAAAGTCTTGTGAAGTAATGATTGATTGCAATTCTTGTTCTAGGAACTGTTGGATGCCCACGAAGCATTCAAGGCAAACATGCAAGCTGCCAACGACGAATTTGATTCAATTATGTCCCTTGTCTCTGAAATGAATGCACTGGGATGTACTGACAATCCCTACACGACGCTTACACCTGAGGTTTGTGGCCTAAGGAAATATCTTACACATGATAATGCAACGCCATTTATCCATGTCGTACAACCACTGGCAGTAGATATTCAATGTTGCAACTTCACGCAATTGCGCATAGTTTCTGCATACCTGTATTTAACATTCCTCTCATATGCTGAGATTTTGAGATTAGTGAAATGACCTGAAGTTAAATTGGCTAGTAAATATGTTTCTCTGTTGATCGAGAAATGTTTTTAAAGATATGTTCATGTGTATAAGCCAAACTTAACTTAGATTTGAATAACTTAGCATCAAATGTGGTATAACAACTGCCTAAAATAGACAAGACACGCTCTCCATGGTTATATTGGATCGTATATTAGATCTGAATACTTAAACTTTGTTATCGAATACAACTATCCTGGCATATGACATAGCCTTGTTTTTGATTATGTACAGGATATCCACAACAGGTGGACCGAAGTTTTGGATTTAGTTCCGCAACGTGAAGAACTCTTGAAGAAAGAACTTCATAACCAACAATGTATCCTTTGGAAGAATATTTTAATCATTCGTACCTGCAATAAATATAGTTGTATCTCGCATTGTTTTTGTAATGCAAACTAAAGACGTCTTAAATTGGTCGGATGGTGGGACGAGTGGGTGTGTTATAGTAATTCAAACCAGTGTAATCTCAAACACGCAACATTTCTACGTTAGTACTCTTTAATTTTTACGTGGTATAATTTAAGTATCTATTGTATACGTGATTCTGTTTCGAATGTAGTATTTTCTTAACTGCTGTGTTCAGCTAACGAACAACTACGTCTGAACTTCGCAAATAAAGCGAACGTTTGCGGTCCTTGGATTCAAACACAGACTGAACAGCTCCGAAACATTGGCATACAAAATCACAAAACGTTGGAGGTAATATTTTTTGTCACCATACCTCATAACCCGTATCAACAGCATAGACGAATTTTCATGTTTTCTACTGGGGTGGTGCTAGAAATCTATAAATATAATCTTGCATTATACGTCAAAATTGGAGAGTGATTTTGTCTACACTCTAAATCAGAACTAGAATTTACCTTTTATTTGACTTTTTTGCTGTTTGGTTCTGTTATGCCTAGCACAAATTCATGATTCAGTTAATAGTCTAAATAAACTTATATAAATTTAACTACCATGCATGCTGTAGAAATTCACAAATTTTACATTCCACGTGCGCTTCAGTCGGAAGTGAAGTACTTCATGACGTACTATTGTGAGAACACTTTCTTTTACGTTATTCTTCGTATATGACAAATTTTATTTTTGTGGAAAATTGGGGGGGGGGTGATTTATTTTTGGAGGGGTGAACAACTTGTTTGGGGGTTATGACCCATACTTGGGGGTCAATCATAACAATCCGCCTATATTAATCAACGTGGTGACGGCAATTTTTGCAACTTAAAAGAGTTTCTAAATTATAAAGATGCAAGAATGTTTCCTAAATGTTATGTTCTCTTGTTTTCTCTAGGATAATCTCAAAGTGCTGCAGAGCTTTGAAAAGACATGTACTGCTTATAAACCGAACATCGATGAGCTTGAAGACATCCACCAGGTATTTAACATGCAATCACTTCAGAAAATATACTCCAGAATGCTAACAGCTGACTGAAATTGGACAGCAAAAATTAAGTTGTCATCTGTTTTCTTTGCTCTATGCCTGCTTGCCTGCCTGCCTGCCTGTCATAAGACGGACTGAACAAAACTAGCTTCTCTCAAATACCCAGCTTTAGCTTTTATACGCATGCTTGGCGTGATATCTCTATTTTTCTTCCACCTTAGGGAGTTCAACAAGCTTTGATCTTTGAAAATCCTCACACGCAGTATTCAATGGACGTAAGTCAACAATTCATTATCAAAATGGTTACAAACGATGATTATCAAAATGATTACAAATGTTTTGAAATTACGGCATTTGAGTAAGACTATTATATAGCGTTTTGTAGGTCCACATTCGTCTTTCTTCAGACGTTAGGAAATACTTAATATGGAGACATAATAGGGATTCATTTCAGGTCGGTTTTACTTTGCAGCCTACGAGCGCTTTCGTTGCTGCAACATCACCAGTGCCTCATAGAATCCTGGAATTAGCAAATCCTAATGCTATTTATAGGACTTATTTTGTAAAAATTTCGAGGTGCCTTTTAGGTACTTCGCGTCGGCTGGGAACAGCTGCTGACTGGAATAGCGAGAAATATCAACGCCGTTGAGAACCAGGTATATATTCTTCTATTTTCAAATGAAAGCAATATTAACTGTCCGAACTGCAAATATTTTATTTACATCCAATTTATATCCAATCATCAACCAATCACAGCAGAATTTCCGTTTTTCTGTGATGATGGTCCAAATTTCCTGAGAATCTTATTCCCCGAGCACCCCAATATCCTGAAGTGAAATCTCGCGAATTCTTAAGTCACATCATCTTTACCGCTTCCTGGGCTATTTTTGCATACGACGGAATCTTAACATTAAAACTTTTGCTTGTCCTAGATATTGACCAGAGACTCAAAGGGAATCACCGAAGCACAAATGAAAGAATTTAGAGACACTTTCAATCACTTCGACAGAGTAAGGAATCCTTCAATTGTGGATAGTTATGTTTTGTTAGGAGAACAAAGCCTCTCAGACTATATTTAGACCATGGTAGAACCATCCAATGACACTTTGGTAGGCAGTAAACAGCAGTCAATCAACTACAACTAATTTCTGCTAGCGGACTGGAATTCTGCTAAAGGATGATAGAAAGGACTGACACATTGCTTTAATTTACAGGACAAGTCGATGTCTTTGGAGCCTCATGAGTTCAAGATGTGTCTTATTAGTTTGGGATACAATTTGAAAGAAGGTGAAAGGGTAAGTGAAATGTGACATATCCTTGCCGTTCTAAAAATGTCAAGTTTAGCGGGCGACGAATGGTGTAATGTAATATGGCGGATAGTCCTATTATAGGTCTGTCACTATGTATAAGTGAAACTCGGAAAAATTACACGGTCGAGGAAATCTCAGGTCTTTTCATTTTTAAAGAATAGACCTTATCTGTTATGACGTTTTGTATAAAAAATGATTTAACTGCAAACATGCACGAATACTTTGACAATTGCCAAATTGCCAAATCTTGCAATTAGCCTTAGTTCTGGCTTTAAGCGTCATGGTCGTAATTGTGAAATGATGATGCATGCCATGGGACGATAGTGGTAAGATCTCTGATCCGGAGATTAATCATGTTTGACTAGTTTATAATAACTTTTAGTGATATGCTAATATTCGCATAATAACTTTTAGTGATATACAATCTGTTAGAAATAACCGGAAATCTTATCCCGCACTTATCTACGGCATGCCCGAAACTAGCTTGTTATAACCATTCAGTTATTGTTTTATAAAATAACAAGGTAGTGTTCCAATTTGATTTCAAAAAGCGAATTAAATTTTCGTGTTTGGATGGTCTGATCCAAATACGGGCTTCGACCAATCAGAACACGCGTTATATACGTTATTTTATAATATGCTTTCTCGCATAGGGAGAGGAAGAGTTTGGTCGTCTTATGCAAATCGTGGATCCAAACGAAACAGGCAAAGTCACATTCCAAGCTTTTGTTGACTTCATGACACAAGAAGTGGCAGACACTGACACGGCCGAACAAGTCATGGACTCGTTCAAAATTCTCGCTGGTGATAAGGTAAGAGTTTACTCATTTCCAGAACCGGGATTGGCGCTATATTAGCCTAATTTTTTTTGTTCTACATTCATGTTCACATACTTTTAAAACAATTGCCTTGATAAGAAATCGGTCAGGCAAAAGGTAATTCCATTCAGTCGTAATTGTCGTGAACATGTAATTTCAACCGATGGTCTGATTAACTTATTGTAACCGAAATAGTCCGAAATTAATGTTCTTTATTAGTGCACCACGAACCATACTATCCCTTCAACCACCATGGTTCACGGCCCTTACGACTTTATGAAAACCAGACATAATACTACGATATTTTTATAGACATGTTCATGACAAAAAGGAAACAGGGCTGAAATGAATATTTTATCTTCGGGTAACAAAATTTATTTTCCTTTCAGCCATACATTACTGCGGACGAACTACGCCGGGAATTGCCGCCCGATCAAGCTGAGTACTGTATTGCCAGAATGGCGCCTTATGAAGGTGAAGATGGCGTGGACGGTGCCTTGGATTACATGTCGTTTTCAACTGCTCTGTACGGGGAGAGTGACTTGTAGACTGAACACTAGAGGTGGTAGTATTCAATCGTGACAAATTATTGGTTTTTATTCGCAAATTGTAATGTGTCAAAGTATAAAATTTAAGTAGCTAGAGAACCTTCGGAATCGATTCCAGGAAATTTGGTAAAATTTAACCGCATAAAAATGTTTTTGTTAAATTCAGATATCGAATGAGTAGATAGCTTAGACCTCGTGTACTTTGAAATGTGATTTGTGAAAATTTATATTTTTGACCATTTTATTATTAAAGAATTCTTATTGTGTTGATGAAGAACTATCACGATCGTAATGAAATTATAAATAAATATCCCGTTGATAATTAAACGCTAAATTTTGCGTTCCCGAATTTCGTGTTCAATGATTGGTATTTCGAGAAAAACCCTGGTTGTAAGATTTGAACGCTAAAAAGACTTATTGAAGAACCTTAATCTTTCTGTTATACCTTGTCCAATACATTCACATTTTCAGTTACCCCAGTACCCCACTATTTTCACTTCGGTCCCACCCTGGCCATACTTCAGTCCCGCCCTGATTGTGGCGAAATTGTCACCTATGCTACTTAAAAGTCCAGATAACTATTCTTAACTGATGGCTTCAACTGTTTCCATCCCTCCTGTATGTGGCTGTGTTGCGTACCGTTGTGGCTTAAACTGGGTGGTGTTGGTGTAATCTAAAAAGGGAGTGTGGGAAATCCGTATAATGTATATTTTGAAATTGTCAGTTGTTACATTAATGCATTTGATGCATTCATTGATGGTTCCTCACAAGATGATTAGCACTATATATTCCTTATTTCTCGTCTTTATGCCCGTTTTCACCGATTTTATGTGCCATTTTCTTCTTTTGATGCTATCGAGTGAATTAGTTATGTTCAAATAAGAGCTCTTATACATACATTTAGATAATTCGTAACTAATTACTCGTTCACATTTATCAAAAGAAGAAAATCGCAGAAGAAGAAATTCTAATTAGCAATCTTAATTAGCAATCCTAAAAAAATTTTTCTCTGATTTCCGTGATTTTCAGACCATCTCGACTCCCCAATTTTGGGATACCTCAATTCCTTAATTCGCATTCCCTCATGCTTCATCCGTCTTAAATATAGCCATTTCGAACTAGTGATTTCGATCTGTGAATTTCTATGCCCTGCACATAGGAGCCACTGAGCTCTAACATTATTTATAAGAGGTTTTTATAAAGGGTCTTAATTTCGAGTGGTATCATACACAACTCAATTCAAGCCAGGAACAGTTGACAAATAATTAGTCAACTATCGGTCCTCCGGCAGGAATCGAACCTATACGCTTATACGATGTTCTTGTCACTCATTTATAAGAGGGCTATCTTATCTATAAAAGGGGGAATCGGGAAACCGGTGGAACGGTGGAACTATTGACTCGTTGAACAGCTAAACTTGTTGAACCTAATTAAAGAACAACTGTTAGTATATATATTCTCTTATGTTAGTATATACTATCCACATCATAGACATGTATACAGTATTATCGCTTTCTGCATTTAAGATCCTAATTTGAAATATATTTATTGTTACTATTTTGCATAATGCCAACCTGGCAAGTGTTATTGTGAACTTAGGCTTTATTGTATTAGATTTTACCCAAGTGAAACATCATAATATACATCCCTTTCAGTGGGGCTTTTAATTAAAAGCATGTGGAAACTATAAGCTTGTGTGTTCATTTAGTTGGCATGCAAATTTTCAATTGAATAGTGATATCTATTCAAAATATAATGAAAAATGCAACAGAACATATGTTATATTGCAGTAATAACATTGCTCAAGAAACTGTTCTGTGTATATAATTTCCATTTTGCTTTCTAATATGTTTTATACAATACATTATACACATGTATAATTGTGATCAGATCCATATCCCGCTCCCGAGTTCCTCCATTACCCTGCGTCCCGGTTTCCCCTGTACCCCGGTTTCCCCGATTTCCCGCTCTCCCATTCCCGATCCTTCTATACCCCGATTCCCCCATTCCCCGATTCCCCGTTACCCCTTTTAAATGTTCTGTCATCGCGCCAACATTGGCCAACATACGAAGGCGAGCCGATTGAAGCCGAACTTGGGCGAAGTAAAGCCGAGTGTTATGTGTGCAGCACGTGCAAGTTTTATTAATCAGGAAAAAAAATATTTAGAAGACGGAGAGGATTAATCATTAGAAACCAGATTTAACAGTAAAAGTAAAGTTATGGATACCTCGACCGAAGGTATGAAGAAGAATCAATGGCAGATGAGAGTGCTAGGCTTTCATACAGCGAACTTGCCAAAATGGTGAATGAAATTGCTAAGCCTTTGGCTGCGAGAAAGTTAACCAAGACGTTACGTAAAACGGCTAAGAAAGGTACGTATGCTTAAAAAAACCTGTCTTCTTCGTTTTTCTCAATGGACCAATTTATTTAACCAACGGACATGGTAGATGTATATTAGTGGCGTAGGCCGCAGCCAGTGTTTAGGGGGGGAAACATGTTAGAAAGTCTGGACAGCAAACGTGATGATTTCCTGCATTTTTGAGTTGTTTTAGTCCTCCAAATGTAGAATATTATATGATTCATGCCAGAAATTATTACTAATGTACCTATTTATATGAATATGCCTAAGTTGCCAATCTGTTCAAAAGAGTACAGCAGTGCAGTCATCAATTTTGAGTAACATGGTGGCTGAGCTATTATTATAATTTGCTGTTTTTCTGCATATCCCCAATTTGGCCATTTGGTCTGACTAAAACCCAACTGGTGGCAGAATGGGTTTAAAGCTTGATAAATTTGAATGCACAAAATGGTATAAATACCCTCCAAACATCTGTAATGTACTCAGTGAGTCAGTAGTGGTGGATTCGGTGTACATCAAACGTACAGGTCACTTGATGGGGTTAAAATAATTCCTAATTTCAAACATGCAAGTTGTAGCATAGCTCATATCATTACCACATATATTATTATTACACATACATTATTACATGAGAGAGCGATATTGATTTGTCAATTCAGCGGGGCTTGCCATGAGTCTTGACCGGTCTGCAGTGATTTTGCACATTTAACAACATTTGCTTCACATTGAATAGTTTTATAGTGATGGTCAGAAGAGCTAAAATCCTTTATAACCATGCTTGTAATTCGCTCAAAATTAGGGAGTTTTCAAGACCGGTGGTTTAGCCTGATAAACTGTTGATGAGACCTGGTTTATGATCAATTGGTTAATTTGTTAAAGCATCAAACCAGTCGCAAATTTTTATTGGCTAGTTCTATTCGACCAGTCACCACTTAATGTATTCATACTGTATGCCTTCAAGTTAGCTTCACCCCTTTGATCACCATTTTTTCAATTTGAATACTGCATTACCAGCAGATTAAAAACTCTGGGAAATCATTTCACTGCTACAAGGCATTGATATTATGTTATATTATATTATAAGTGATTGAATATAACAAAGGTCAGTCTGCTTATTTGCAATATTGCATAAAATAATCTATGAATAATTAACTAAAATTTGGTTTGTGTCTCAAAACTTTTTGAAGCGGGTAATTAGTAGAGCTGGATCTGCCCCTGAATGTACTAAGCTACTTAAACAATACAAAAAAATTAGCATTCGACAGTTGGACCCTGCTGAGTTTTATTCTTACATCAGCAATGATATATCTTGCTGGCAAGCTATGAAATCGATATCAATTACCATGAAATACATGTTGAATAATTGATAACAATATACTTTTTATGGACCCTCTCAATCTATATGTTTTGTCTTCATTTAATACCCACATTCATTAACACCAGACTGTGACTATAAGTTAATCCACCAACAGTGCCATTTTACACTGTAGATATTGCAGAAAATTCAGTGATGAATATACTGGAGGGGTGCAAATTTAGGTATCAATACAAATTTAGGGGATTTGTACAAAAATTAGTGCCCAAGTTATAAGTAATTTTAGAGTATTTGGAAGTTTAGAGACAATCTAGACAATCCACCTTAATGGTTTCATGCTTTTTTAATGCTTCCCTCCTTTCAATGATATATTGAGTATTCAGTGGCCTGAATTTAAAATTTTAGACCAAGAAGTTGTTGCTTAAAAAACTACTGTTAGCAAAATTGTGTTGAGCAAGTTCCTAAATTGTTTAACTTCAGCTGTAAAAGTTAAAGCAGTGAACAGAGGTGTCAAAGAGGTGACAAAAGCCCTTAGAAAGGGTAAAAAAGGGTAGGTTATCCTGCTGAACTCTACATTCTTTGCTGGTCCAAATGATAGGAAAATATTTTCATGTTTATTTTACCTATAGTTTTCAATTGTCTGTTTGGATAATTTGTTCATAATTTAAACTGAAATATGTCTTAATGTGTCTGTCACTATTTGTCACTTTTTGAAAAGTGAATAAATATTTAAAGCCTGGTGCAAATTGATATTCCCATCAGAGGGCTGTAGTTAAGATATTGCATCCTAAGCCATTTGAATTTTGGAATATGTAGCTACTGCAATAAATACATGTCCACTATCTGAACATTTTCCCTTCTGAATAGAATTGTTATTTTGGCTGGTGATGTGACCCCCATTGATGTGTATTCACATCTGCCAGTGATGTGTGAAAACCGGAGTATACCATATTGTTATGTTCCATCAAGACAGGTAGGTATAAGTAGTAAATACCACATTCAGTCAGTGTTGAGGGGGATGGGGGGGAGGGTGTTTATTCATATATTCAGACGGATTTCTTTTTAAGTGCAATAGCCTACAATAGAGAACTGTCGGACCGTCGGAACTGAATATAAGAGAAAACATATTCCGAAAATAAACATCTTGTAAACTCAAGACATGAGTTATTAAAAAACAAGACACAATATTCAAGGTGATATTTCGACTCTATTTCAAAGTCATTGTCAAACCTATAATGTCAGCGTTCTTCTCGTTGATAGCATCATTTAGCAATAGTTTGTGGAATCTGTGTTGTCTCTTCTTCCTTCTCAGCTGATTAATGTTCTTCCATCTGACAAACTTGGGATAGACTTCAGAAAATAGAGTAATAAAATAGAAATAGAGTATTGAATTAGAGTCGAAATATATACATATATATACCCCCAATTACCGTTATAGTTATGCCCCTGCATCAGATCAGTGCCCTGCATTCAGTGTCATTTACAGCTAGAAGAGAAAAGATAGCTTTCCTCTACATGTTTAACTTTGTGTAATTCTGTAATATTCATACAAATAGTAATAATAATTTGGGTTTTTTTCCTAAACAAAGTCGTTTTCTCGTATGTAGAATCTTGGACTAGCTGTTAATTCGAAAAGGCCGACATGTACTGTGATGATCCAATGTCACGATGATATCAAAGACGAATATGAGAAATGCTTTGCTGAAGTAAAGTCATTACCGTTACCTTTGTAAATTGGCTCGTGTTGTTCATAACTAGATTGTTTTATTTCGAACGTGCATGTGTATATTTATAGTTTTGTATAAAAGGCGTAAATTCTTAGGAGTAAAATTATTATTGCCCAAAAAAATCGTGTGGTTCCTTTTTTCCGTAGCCTCCTCCGCAGGCATACCTCTTATGTATTTATATTAGTTATATTAGCCCAAGCCAAATATGCATTTTTTTAATACATGCATAAGAGATGCCTGCGAATGAGGCTAGGTTTTTCGATCTCTCTTGGTGACATCAGCCCACGTAAAATGATTGCCAGTTCGGAGATATTTGCCATCCCACTAGGACCATATCATCAGAAAAATATGGAAAAAATTTTAAATCAGTTGACTCAAAATAATGCTTGGACAGATGGTATTAGTAAAACTACATTAGTGAAACTACATTCCCGGCATTACCATCCTATACACATTAACCACGCTTGCTCTTGTCAGCTACCTCTGGCTCTGTATCTCAGTGGCAAGAGCATTGCACCGACATCGCAAAAGCATAGGTTCGATTCCTGCCGGAGGACCGATAGTAGATTCATTTTTCCATCAACTGTTCCTGGCTTGAATTTGATGTGGGTATAATTCCACTCGAAATTAAGACCCGTTTAAGTTTAAACTTTAAACCTCTACATTCAACAAAGGTTGACTTAAGCCCATTTTCCACTAGGCGAATTTATTCGCTTCCTACTTTTATCAGTTCGCGCAAATAAATTCGCCTAGCCTGAGAACGGGCTTTACAGAATACAAAAGTGCTAATACTTACTTAAGTACTAAGAACTTACTGACTGAGAGTGAGGTCTGTACGGTAAAATATCAAACCGAGGTCGTGCTGTATTGACCGAGCGATAGCGAGGTCAATACACCAAGACCGAGGTTTGATATTTTACCGTACAGACCGAACAGTCGAAGTTAGTAAGTTTTTTATTATATGGCATAATTCATGCAGACATTGTAATGATTAATTCTTTATAAGTAATTTTAATGATCAATCTCATCCGTGCACACGACACCAAAACATCGGCCTAAAGTGAAAAAAAAAACGCTCTATTTTGTAAAATAGAAATTTATTTTTTTTATTTCAAATTCATTATTTTCCGTTTAAGAATTTAATCTGTTTTTCAGTTAAAATTTAGTCAGTTTTTGCCGTGAGTTTTGCCTTGTTTTCACAGGGCAATAAGAATTGCGTATTGCCCGTGGGCAATACGGGAAATCCGGACCTGTCAGCAGCCAATCAAATTGCAGAATTAACCAAAACAAGCGCTTGCCATATAATAATAATACTTAATTACCTATACTAGGGTTATTACCTTGGACTAAAGTAAATTTTTTGTCAATGTCTTTTAAGGCAATTCTATCGGATCCAATTTACTTCTGACGTATGGAATGTAGTCTGCATGTGTTATTAACAAAGCAGTACTGCGTTGGTTTTGGTTTCTTTGCCGCTCATGAATGAACAACCTCGTACCCGGGGTCTTTGCTTTTCGTATAACGCTCATTCCTATTGCTAGCCAACAGACTATAATACATCCATCTGAAGGGAATTGGATCCAACAAAATTGGATCGTGTGAACAGGTCTTTAAAAAGGGTCTTTTTTATGGGGGGGTATTTTATGATGTATTTGTTTTATTTGACCTAGATGGTGAAACAGTTGCAGGAGTACTTACTCCAGCAACATTTATTTTACTGTATTGAATACCTAAATAAGGACTGCGTTAGCGGTAAAACAGGAAAGTAAAATCTTTGTTGGTAAATTCTCACGACCATTTTAACGTATGATATTATACGGATGCTTATTACATTACAGGCTATTTATGTGATATATGATACAATCTTAAAATCAACATTACTTCTATGTATGCACGATACAATATATGACTGCAGTAATATTCGCTGTTTCTGAATAACAAATGAAAACTTCTCTCCATCTGTTGACGATATCACACAAATTGTTCATCTCATCATCTACTGACCATGCAGGTTGAATTGTTTCAGCACTCGTGAACTACGATAAAATTTTATGAATTCAGTGAGTTGTTCATCCAATTTTGCATATAGCCATAGCTGGAAATTAACGAAATGCCAAGAGGACACTAATTCCGTTGGGAGGTTTAAATATATGTTACGGACGGTTGATCCTGGGGCTCGTTGCCAATTAGCCTTTCTCACTTTTTGCTTTTCATGTTGTTATAATTTTTAAACCCATTGAGAAAATTGAACTCTTCACTACTATAAAGAATTTCGATGGGCGGCCATCTTAAACTCATGTAAGGCCCCGTTTACACTATACTCGATTTATTGGCACGGCTAAAATAGGTACCCGTGCCTGGCCTTTATTTTGGTAGCCTGAGCACGAATAGAGTTGAGTGTAGTGTAAACGGGGCTTAACACACAGCATGTACTTTCAGTACCTAATCAATACCCTTAAGCAATAGGGAGGCCATCTTCAATATCAATTCGGAATCATATAGAGATAGAAACAAGAAAAAGACTGAATTACGTTATAATTACAGTACAATCCTCCCGTTATTACATTTTTCAAAAATGAAATTTTAAAATGGCGCCTCTTAGCGCGCGTACGTTTTCCGCTGTACGATTACATCGCTAACTGCAAACTAAATTGTCAAAGTAAACGTGTTGGCACGTTCACGCGAACAAATAAAACTTGTCAAAGAAAACATTTCTCATAGAAAATTTGTTGTGAATAACGCTGCAATTGCCATAGAAAACTTGCTCTCTGTAATGGGCTTTAACGTATTGCGTGAGACGTTTTACCCTTCCTTAATATTGTACCATATCCCTTACCACTGGCACAGTTCTCCCATGTCGATACATCATCTATGACGTATGTTGTGGTTCCGCACCAGAATACATTATTGTTGGCCACTGTTGTACACGCGCTATACTTTATTCCACGATAATAAAACGGGAAAACACAGCATTTTCCCGATGTTGTTTTCACTTCGCAAGTCGCTCCTTAAAAATAAAAGTATACTATTGGTATGACTAATAGACCTTATCCGTAATTACGTCACAACATTGTCGTTTTAAATTTAGAACCACCTTTTAAAGAGATGGGTATCAAGTTTTACTCTCACAAGCTATGTGCAAAGATGCAAAACATCCTTCTTCAGCACATGCATGAAAAATAATTTTTGATTTGGACAAATTAGTATGGAAGGCTCGCGGTCTTAGCCCCTTATTTCTACATTTTTTGGGTAAAGTAAAAAATATTTTTCATGCATGTGTTGAAGAAGGATGTTTTGCATCTTTCCACATAGCTCCATTTCATTTAAGGTGGTTCTAAATTTAAAACGCTGCGACGATAAATGTTGTGACGTAATTACCAAAATGGTCTATTGTAACTATCAACGGGAATTTGGCATTTTACATCATTTTTTTCATTTACCACATCACGTCCACTGATTACATTGATTGAGTTCCCTTTTATTTTATTAACTGATTAGGTGGTCGTAAATTAAAAATAAGGTGGTCGTAAAATAATTAGGACTTAACCAGTTAACCAGTACTCCTGAAATACTTCTTAATCGAACCTCCATAGTTTTACTAGCTTTTACATCTAACATATGTATTTCGTTCTTATAAGCAAACGAAAAATCACAGTTCTTAGATTCTCGAGCAGGATAACTCATGAGTTATTTAAGTTAATTAGATAAAAGTTTCAGGACCCACTATACACACATTTTTCTCAGTGGGGCACGGAAATAATTGTATTTCGTTAAGTTGTAGTAAAATGGTGACAGTTTTTGTAAGATAAGTAATTCACGTTTTATGTTTGTGGCTTCACTGGCTTGCTAGACTAGTACTATTGCACCAATCTTAACAGTTGTAGATCATCTCATCATGGATGTTATTTAAGGCTATAATTAAAAGCAATTCCATGTTGATATTCTATATTTCGAAAGTTATCATGTTTTGAAAAATCAGCCATTTTTCATCGTTGGGAGTATAACTGGATTTAGTGATTGACGTCATCTTCCATTTAAAGTAATTTGGCTTGCAGTATGGAATGAAAAGATTCTTAATTTTTTTTCAAAGAATAAGAGAAACAATTTTTTGTATATACGCTTTTAGATTTGGTGTATACTACAATGCATCTTGATTCAAATGGTTGGCAAGTGCTGACTAAGTTTATCATGCAGACGGCAAGAAGAGTAATGGCGAACGACTTTTTAGTTAATATTGTACCATATCCCTTACCGGTGGCACAGTTCTCCCATGTCGATACATCTACGACGTATGTTGTGATTCCACACCAAAATACATTATTGTTGGCCACTGTTGTACACGCGCTATACTTTATTCCACGATAATAAAACGGGAAAACACAGCATTTTCCCGATGTTGTTTTAACTTCGCAAGTCGCTCCTTAAAAATAAGAGTATACTATTGGTATGACTAATAGACCTTATCCGTAATTACGTCACAACATTGTCGTTTTAAATTTAGAACCACCTTTTAAAGAGATGGGTGTCAAGTTTTACTCTCACAAGCTATGTGCAAAGATGCAAAACATCCTTCTTCAGCACATGCATGAAAAATAATTTTTGATTTGGACAAATTAGTATGGAAGGCTGGCGGTCTTAGCCCCTTATTTCTACATTTTTTTGGTAAAGTAAAAAAATATTTTTCATGCATGTGTTGAAGAAGGATGTTTTGCATCTTTCCACATAGCTCCATTTCATTTAAGGTGGTTCTAAATTTAAAACGCTGCGACGATAAATGTTGTGACGTAATTACCAAAAAGGTCTATTGTAACTATCAACGGGAATTTGGCATTTTACATCATTTTTTTCATTTAACACATTACGTCCACTGATTACATTGATTGAGTTCCCTTTTATTTTATTAACTGATTAGGTGGTCGTAAATTAAAAATAAGGTTGGTCGTAAAAAAATTAGGACTTAACCAGTTAACCAGCACTCCTAATCTACTACTACTAAACTACTAATCGAACCTCCATAGTTTTACTAACTTTTACATCTAACATATTTATATTGAAACCACAGTTCTTAGATTCTCAAGCAAGATAACTCATGAGTTATTGAAGTTAATTAGATAAAAGTTTCAGGACCGACTATACACACATTTTTCTCACTGGGGCACTGAAATAATTGTATTTCGTTAAGTTGTAGTAAAATGGTGACAGTTCTTGTAAGATATAAGTAATTGACGTTTTATGTTTGTGGCTTGCTAGACTATTACTATTGCACCAATCTTAACAGTTGTAGATCATCTCATCATGAATGATATTTAAGGCTATAATTAAAAGCAATTCCATGTTGATATTCTATATTTCGAAAGTTATCATGTTTTGAAAAATCAGCCATTTTTCATCTTTGCGAGTATAACTGGATTTAGTGATTGACGACATCTTCCATTTAGAGTTATTGAGCTTGCAGTATGGCATGAAAAGATTCTTAATTTTTTTTTTAAAGTATAAGAGAAACAATTTTTTGTATATACGCTTTTAAATTTGGTGTATACTACAATGCATCTTGATTCAAATGGTTGGCAAGTGCTGACTAAGTAAATTGTGCAGACATGCAAGAAGAGTAATAGCGAAGGACTTTTTAGTTAATATTGTACCATATCCCTTACCGGTGGCACAGTTCTCCCATGTCGATACATCATCTATGACGTATGTTGTGATTCCACACCAGAATACATTATTGTTGGCCACTGTTGTACACGCGCTATACTTCATTCCACGATAATAAAACGGGAAAACACAGCATTTCCCTAAACTTGTTTTCACTTCACAGGTCGCCACTTAAAAATAATTATATTACAGCATAGGAGAAATATTCCAGCCTGCTAGCTGGTGTGTGGGCGGGTGCTACATCCCCAGTTTTAGCAAAGTGGTCGGTTTAACGTGACGTCGGTCGGTAACAGCACACAAACGTCGGTGAAAAGTAGAACTTTGCTCACCTTGCTAGCTATAATTTGACAAGTCACTCGTCTGTTGATAAACCGACCAAAAGGCTATATGTTTTCTTTAGACGCACTTAAAGTGCTATGTTTCGGACAGTCTACCTTTGGACAGAACTTTACATCTTATTTATATTTGTTACGTCATATTTAATTTATCTTGATTATACTTTGATTCAACTTGATTTGCTTGCAATAGGATATGTGTTGATTTGTAATTTGATTCGGGACAGTTATATATATTAGGATAAGAACAAAGAGATTTGAGTTTGATATTGAGCATATAGCTTGTGTATGAAATGAAATGAAGCGCTGTTTCAAGCCGTAGAGACCCACTCTTCAGGTACTATAATCTTTATTTGTAATGTGTTAAGTTCTTTATTCACCAATCAATAATATAATGTAATCTAATCAAACGCAATCATTTTAGAATATATAAATAAATATTACGAAAATCTCTACGGTGTTGAGCGTGGTTTTGCCCATTGGAAACATGCTATGTGTGCATCGGCAAAACCTGTGATTGCACCCCCTCCCCAGTTAAGATAGTGTAACATAATACAAAAGTATACAAAATTTATCAACTTGCCATGTCAGCCACTTACAGAATTCATATTGTGCTCAACACTTGCCCAATTCATTGGTGTTCAATTCATAATTACACCAGATCGCTTACCTGTAGCACAGTTTCTCGGGGATGTCGAAGTTTGTTCTGTTGGAATTTGTTCTGTTGAAATCTGTTCTGTTGGAATTTGTGTGGCCATTCAAAAAATAATATGAAAAATTTGTGGGTGGCTTATCGTTGATGAAACCTTAGAAAGCTGGGGAGAGAAACGACTAGGGCAGGGGCAAATACCCCTTGACCCCTTCGGTAGTCCGCCACTGGCTCAACCACATTCAATGATCAATAATTATTAAGACATATTATAGTTAAACTCACTAATTTCACAGTGATCTCCCTTGTATTCGTCTAGACATTTACACTTATATGGATCAGATCCTGGCCCATTTTGAAGGTCAATGATAGTTTTTCCACCATTTTTACAATTCTTCATTTTACTGCACGGCACCTGAGGTGTATTTAGACGTATATTTTAATGTAAATAGAACAAACTGTGCCTTTTCCTGTCTGGGAGTAGACGAGATGAAATTGCATGTTCACGTTCTCATTGAAATACAAACTTTTAGTACCCTCACGTCGCGCCGGTTCGGTGATAAACCCTTACCTTTCTTTCCGTGATTAGATAATAGAATATCCATCCCTTGTCATCTACTTCGCAGTTTGAGAAGTTGTGTTCCAGCGTGTATGTTAACTGGCAGTTTTGCTTCGCTTTCTTCTTTTTGAAGTTGTATCCAACACAGAATGGATCTTGCAAACATTTGTGAGCGCAACTATTTTTCAGACCATACGTAGATTCATAGAGCTTGTTTTTTGTTAGAGAACAGACATCTATAAATTAGTTGGAAATATGAGGTTAAGAAATGTGCGAATTGGGTATTTTACGAATTTTTTATTTACCCGAGAAAGGTAACCTTAATGTAAAAAAATAAAACAACATCGCGAACAATCTTGAAAAAGTCAAAGAAAAAATCGGATTCAGCCGGTTTGCTGGTTTGGGTGTTCAAAAGGTTTTCACCACGAACTATGAATTAAGTCAACTAACTAATATTCGTACTATAATTTCTGTATAACTTCTAGACTCATTTCTTGTCGCGGATTAGCGACAGTACAGTTAATAAGATAGAGATCAGTAGGACATGTTAATAAGAAAGAGCGGGAATAACAGTTGAAGTTAGACATTGACTCAAGTACGAACAGTAATCTTATACTCGCGTGTATTTTTTTCCTTTTGCTTGATACGTAATAATATTTATAAACTGACGTTCGTCTGTTGTTATTCGAAGAACCTTAGAAGTGCAAGTTCTCGGTTGTTTACGACAAATCACAACGCAATATTCATAACAACAACACTCAACAATCGAGACAATTTCTATTGTAAATAATAGTTCTAATCTATTACAGGCAAATCTTTAAAATATTATTTTACACGGGAGAAGGGAAAAGTAAATCACATTTATTATAGAATATACATGGTTTGAAGGCTAGATGCATGGAAGTACAATACAACTCATTATCTATGTTATTGTCCTGGGGCCGGTTGTATCAATCCCGTTTAGCTTAAACGGTGGTTAAGTTCAAAATAGAAAGCAAGTCTATCGTTTTATTCGACGAGCGAACTAAATGTTTTTAACCTTAATACAAAGATACTGTTTACAACTACATATTCAGTGCATAATGTTCAAGTTGGCTCATTCAAGAGAGATGTAAGAGTGTTATTTAATTTTGACTTATCCACCGTTTAAGCTAAGCGGGCTTGATATAACCGGCCCCTGATTTATGCAAAAATTGTTCCTTATCGGCGACATGTCTATTGTATTTTTGCCCAACTAACCAATAGCAATGGCTTAGCTTGGCTTGGCTTAGCCCCTCAACCGTGACTTGAACAACATGTTAATTCAGACCTTTATACTATTGGTTTATTTGTTCAAAATACAATGGACACGTGACAATTTTTTGCATAAATGTTTCCCGACATATAGTTATTCCCCAACCATATATATTCTATTAACTGTCCCCGACCATGTACATTCTATTAACTGTCCCCCGACCATGTATATTCTATTAACTGTAGTTAAATCAGTTGTTTATACATCTGGTATACCCGACGCTGGAGCTGCCATGCGCGAACCTGTCACCGTAATCATTTTTATCCCGGTAACAGCGCGCATCATATTAAACAAAATCAATCAGTCATCTATTCATACCAATACATCTAGAATTATCGATGGAATTGTAGAAAGTATTTCATAACAAATTCGTATAAACTATTAGAAGCGATGTCATTGGTTGCTTTGCTGATTATCCGTCTGCATGATAATTGGCTGAAAAATAGTATCAACACACCTGTTTTAAAATACGATATTTTTACGTCTGTTAATACGATTTTTCTCAAAGGCGAAAAACTAAGGCACTTGATTAAACGTATTTTTTTTAAACTTCATTCCACGTATACGATATTTTTGTACAAATGAGCCATCCCTGTAATAATCTATTGATAAACCATCGACAATTCTAGATGTATTGGTATTACTTGATGCAGGGGCGGATCTAGGATTTTTCGCACGTTAGTCAAAATATCGGATGTAAAAACAGGGAGGTGGTTCAATTTCCGCACCCCCCGCCCGGAATAATGACATTTCAAAAATTATTTTAAAACTTCTGAACGTGAAATTTATACAAAAATCATACGCGAAAAGTACGCATAAAAATGTTAACGTTTAAATGTTTACTGAGCCTTCAGTTTTAATAGCAGAAACACGTGAGTCGAAATAACGGGCAATCATAGGAAATTACACCCATGGGCATGGAATAAAAACATGAATGCGGTCAATTTGTAAGACTGACTGAATAATATTCATAACTCAGCATAAGCTAGTATTGCTCCAAGCTATGCTACATGCCAAATATAATATGTGCTTAATGCCGCTTACACTTTACAGTAAATGATCACAGTTGGGCAATATTGTTTATAATGCGCTATAATTCATAATTGCCATATTGGTTTGGTGGGTAATCATGATTTCGTTGTACTTTTTGATATAAACATGCATTACATGATTTTACAAATATATAAATCTTCTTTACGCGCCTAGATCTAGTATTATGTATTGGCTGTTTGTTAGACGTAAATTTATACAGTAAATCTTGGTTGATACTTGACAGATAAACAATACAATAATCGACCTTATGACCGAACGACGACGGGCGAATGCAAATATATGCTAATAGAGAACCACGCTCAAATATACAGTTAACATAGCAAATTATAGGACTATAGTTTATACGAACTTATAGGAGTATTGTTTATATGAACATCGACATGAATCTTTACCTTATCTCAGTAGATTTCTTATTTTGACGAGCACACGAGGTAACGGAATTATCCATATTACTCGACGAGACGACAACTGAAAGCTATTCGATATTTTCGCTATTTGTAGCGTGAACTTCCTAACAAAGATCTGTATCGGGCCTTGCAGGAACCTCAAATCATGACGATGAAATGCCATTTTGTAAAATAAATATACGAATTCGTATAAATGGCGAGAGCGAGCAGTAGAATCCAACAGATTTTTAAAAATATCCGCTGTCAAACATCCAGAATATTTTCAATATTCCTTATTTACTTGAGAAGGATATATTTTTTCCTTGAAGTCAAATAAAGCAAACCAATAAGAAATCATTATTTTTCTTTCACCAGCCAATCGGAAAGCTTAAATTTGGCGAATGAGTCAGACCCCCGCAAAGATAAGGCAAGCCAATGAAGAACCAGTATTAGCCCTCCACCAGCCAATCGGAAACGCTTAAATTGCGCAGATGAGTCAGACCCCCGCAAAGATGAGTCAAACTCATTCTAAGCCAATCAAATGCCTAGAATCAGAAGTCGATGAGGCAAAATTCAAGTGGGTATCCGCTATTGTGACTCATTTGCCGCGGGCTCAAAAGTCAGTGAAAAGCAACTGCATGAAGCTTAATAATTTTAACTGGACTGTTAATTTATCGAATGACTATTTTCGCTGACTGAAGTTTAAATATTTCGACCTGGACTTGTGTATTTTTTGACTTAGTCGCGTGACTTATCTGACAACCCCTAGATCCGCCCCTGACTTGATGAAATTTAAAGATGCGGTGAAATCCCGACATGACGCATGTTGCTTCGTAATAGAACTTGTTCCCGACATACATTCCTATTTTCGAATTTTTTTGTTCCGAACAAATTCCGATCCTTAC